GCAACCTCAAACTCCTGGGCTCAAGCAATCCTGCTGCCTCAGCCTCCCAAGTAGCTGGGACTACAGGCATGTGCCACCATGCCTGGCTAATTTTTTTTTATATATATTAGTTTGCCAATTAATTTCTTTCTATTTATAGTAGAGATGGGGTCTTAGTCTTGCTCAGGCTGGTTTCGAACTCCTGACCTCGAGCAATCTGCCTGCCTGGTCCTCCCAGAGTGCTAGGATTACAGGCGTGAGCCACCAAAGACATGGAAATAATGCCACTGAAGCAACTTATAAAGTAGTTTATACACTTGGGAAAAAGGGAAGCCATTCAGTGATGTAGAAATTGAGAAAGAATGCACTGTCAAAGTTGTATAACAGAGTAGTCTCCCCTCATCCCATAGATATGGAAGGGAAATATTGACAGTGGGGAATATGTAACAAAGGGAATGGACTGAAAAAAATGGCAAAAATATTTTCTGTCTCTTTAAAACATTCTCCACTCTTTTTGAGAACTAAAACCTGCACCCCTGCCTTGGGCCAGTAGTTGTTCTTTGTGCTACAGGAGATGGCTCAATGCAGACCTGGCAAGAATTATCAACTATAGTTGAACAGCAATTGCCTGAAGCTGAGAACCCACCCTTTAAAAGCTCTGTATTTCGGCTTATTATGAGAATAATGGCATTTTTCAGCCAGTAGTCTCCATCCTCCTCCTTTGCCAACAAAGTAATAAATTTCTCTTTCCTTCTCCTCAAACTACTCGTCTTTGTGTTTCTGATGCAGCAATGGGGACAAGTGTCAAGTGCTGAGGTTTCAGTAACAGTTCTAGGATGATTAGACCATAATAACATTTCAAAGTGCAAACAATTGCCTCTTTCCAGGAGAACCACAACTAATCAGTAGCATGAATTATCCTTCAACTTAACAGAACAACTTTATGTAATACTTCAAAAGGAAAAAAGACATTATTCAATTGTTCTGGATGAATTAACTGATACTACTGACTTGGTGCAGGTTTTATATTTCATTTGGGTTGGAACAGAAGGTTTTCTTTGTTATGAAGAGTTCCTTACTTTGGGCCCTCTTGCAAACAGAACGCAGGGATTAGATATCTTCAATAACTTTGAAAATAAATGTTTTGAAGTTGGACTGAATTTGTTAAATTTAGTGAGTGTATATACAGATGGTGTATCTTCCATGACAAGAAAACATGAAGGGTTTATTGCACAGATAAAAAAGTATTAACAGATCCAGACACTCTCATTTCTTTTTATTGTATCTTGCCTTAGCAAAATCTCTGTGCTAAAGCTACTATTTTCAGTGACACTTTGTAACAAGTTATATAAGTATTGTTAACTATATTCCTGCAAAGGTAACATGGTGTAACATGCTAAAGTTGAATGATGAGGTATTCAGTGTGGATTTGCCATATCATTCTAAAGTGCATTGGCTATCACAGGGACAGGAGTTAGCCAAAATTTTATCTCTGTGAAAAAAGATAGTTAAATTTTATGAAGAACAGAATCAGCAATGTGAATTATTGAAAGAAGATTTCTATAGAAATGTAGCATTTCTGTGTGATATCATGTCAAATCAAAAACTTGAATATTTCTTTGCAAGGTAAAACTAAGTCTATATGTGTGTGATATGTGGCAAAAAAAATCCAAGCATTTTGAAAAAAACTTTTTTTTGGAAATACTTCTTGAAAAGGAAACTTCAGATGAACATTTTCCCCAGTTAGGAAAGATCATTGATGAACAGGATGATATATGTGAATCCTTTGAAGAATATGCAGCTATTGTAGACCTATTAATTGGAGAATACAATGAAAAGCTCACTGACTCTCAGGATCATGACACCACACTCAAATTAGTATGTCAGCCTTACCTAGTTGATATAACCAAGGCACCTAAAGAACTAAGATGGAATTAATTGAGCTCTCAGTAGATGATATTTCAAAAGCATTGTTTGATTCCCAGAAAGATCCAACTGAAATATGGAAAAATGCAGTAGAATATCCACGCCTTCAGCAACATGCTTGAAAAATGCTTTCTTGCTTTTCAAACACTTACTGCTGCAAATCTACATTCTCCTACCTAAACCAAATCAAGATACCCTTAAGGTCACAAATGATTGATACCCATCTAGAGGATCAACTGAAACTGTCAATTTCCATGCTGCAACCAAATATTCAAGTGCTTTCCAACAAAAAGCAGACACAACAAAGTCATTAAAAAGCTAATTTTAAAGTTAACAAATAGTTTTCATTTTTTAAAATTCTTAAGTACATAGTAGTTAGATTTTTACAAAATAATGTACATTTTAAGTGTATCTAATTGAAGACTCTTGAATGCAGCCTTATTTGATTATAGCTAAATCATTGTGGCTTCCAACATGAAAAGCTTTCCCACTCTTGCACTAGGCGATAGGAATTTTTCAGCTTCATTATGATCTTATGGGATCACTGTTGTATATTTGGTCTGTCTTTGACCATGTTATGCCTTGTATGACTGCAATGTAACTTTTGGATCTCCCAGCAACATCAACAGCATTATATTAAATGATATGTTGAAATTGCCAATTTAGGGATTTATTTTGTTTTCAAAACTTATTTCTTAAAATACTATTCATAGGAGTAGCACAATGCATTCTATGTGTATATATGTATTAATGCTTATTTTCTTTGCAAGAATGACTCACTAGCAAGTCTAGAAGCACACACTTATAACATGGCAAAAGTTAAAAGCAAAACTGACAGATTAGATTTTAATTGCTTCTCTTTTATGTACTCCTCTCCTGCTTTCTAGAAATGTTTACCTAAACCTTTGACTTTGAATGTAAGCATTTGCTTTCTTTTGATTTAATGTCAGTGTGTTCCTTTGAGCCAGTAACATCACTATATTGATAATATTTTTCTTTACATTGTTTTGATGCCTTTTCCAAAAACAATTGACCATATATATATATATGTCTATTTCTGGGTTCTATTTGTTCCATTGTCTGGATATATATTCTATATGTCTCTTTTCACTGGCACCAAACTGTGTTGCTTATATAGCTTTATAATAAGCCTTGAAATCAGGTAGGATAAATCCTACAATTTTGTCCTTCTTTTTAAAAACTGCTTTGGCTATTCTAGATTTTTTGCATTTTTATATGAATTTTAGAATCAGCTTGTCAATATCTACAAAACAGTCTGCTGAAATTTTCAGTGAGATTGGCTTGAATCTATAAATGAACCTGGTGAAAACTCACATTTTAACAGTATTGAGCCTTACAGTTTATGAATGAGGTTTATATTATATTCATTAATTTAGGTCTTCCAAGTTTAAAAAAAGGCATCAGCATTTATAAGCATATAAACTATGCCCAACACAGTAATGGGTGCTTTATATGCATCACATTAAAATACACTATTCCTTTTATTGGACAGATTATACATAAAAGGAAATGGGGTGGTGGAGAAGGTAAGGAACTCCCTAGTGACCAGTAAGTAGCATAGGAAAGGAATTTGGACTCTCAACTGACTCCAAAACCTAACTTTTTCTATTCACCAGTTAAGTGAGGGCCATCATTTATGACTGCAAACCTCTCCGAAGTTCAGATTGTTCCTGAACAATCAAGCATTTCAAACTCTTACCAACATGATAACCTCAATGTTAGAGTAGGGAGACAGTGTTAAGTTGTCTGGAGACACATAGGCACTAAAGATTAAATTACATTTTCCAAATTGCACTTGAGAATTGAGCGTGCCAATTATATCCTTTGGGTTTCTACCTTGTTCAAGGCACTTGGGATTAAGGTTAATGAACAACAGAAAATTCTTGTACCTATTGCAAAAAACATATTTCCATTTATCTATGCAGACTGGTTTGGGATTTGTAAAAAAGATTTTGTAAAAGGTCTGACAGCTGTTGACATAACTTCAGGAATACCTGTTAGGGAAATTCAGTGACCTTTACAAACTTACCCATGGCCAAAAAATAAAAAAAAATAGAAAAGAAAATTCCAAAAAGTGATTGTAATTAAAATTAACCAAAGTTCCTGATCCATTCCTGATAAAGAGTAAGCTCAGGTTTAATATTTAAAAATAATTTATGAAGAAAGGGTTATGTTTCAAAGTCTACCTCAGGTATTTCTATTAGCATTTCTTCCAAGAGCTTTCCAGGGCTCCTTCCGTCCCTGTACCCAGTCTAGAGAAGAGTCTAGACAACTGTGCACTCATTTCATAGCACTTGCCCCGGAAGGGTACAAGGTTCGGGCTTGAGATGTCTTACACGTCATGATTTCTTCCTCGCATGCGAAGCTCAGAGTGGAAGGCTGCTGAGAGCACTGCCCCATGCCAGGATGCTAGGCGCCACGCATCCATCGCCCGGCAACCGTCTGAGAGGAATAGGCCGGGAGTGGGTGGCCCCTGGCCCGTCTGACGCCGGGAGCCCACGCACGAGCGGCAGCCCTGAGCTAAGGGAGGAAACACCAGCAGGCCTGTGCGGGTCGTTCATGGTGAAAGTGAGGGGCGTGATGGGGCGGGGGTGACAGAAGGGAAGCAGCGCCGGGATCCTTCAGCCTGCCTCCTCCGCTCCCCCTGTCCTGAAAGGCGGCCCCACTAGGGGCGTGGAAGGGAACCTGAGCCACGGGAGGAGGGGCACGGGTTACAGCGGCCGGGGGAGGGAGGATGCCACTGGCTACCCGGGGTCGTCGGCGTCGCGTCTGACTCTGGGCGGAGAGGAGCCTCGAGAGGCTGCTAAAGCTGCACACTGACCTGCCCGATCCCCCGCGGCCGAGAGAACGTGACGCCTCCCCGCCGCCAGGCCGTCGCACGCCGCTCCCGCCGGCCGCCTGGTGTCCCCGCCGGCGCCCCCTCCGCGCGCGCGCCGCGGGCGCAGGTGAGCCGGGCCGGGCCGGGCGCCGCCCGGAGGCATCAGGTGTCGTGGGAACGGCGCCCGCAACGCTCGGGGAGGGACGGCGATGCCGAGAGCCACAGGGGACAGTAAGCGGGAGGGCCGCGGCCCCGGCCGTCGGCACCATGCAGGGCACACCGCTGGCAGCGGGGTGCGAGCTGCAGCTGTTCGGGGCAGCGCCGGCGGCCGAAGGTCAGTGGTGGCGCCGGCGGGGGCTGCGCACGGCCCGCGGGCCCTGTGGGCGCGTCCCTGCGGGGCCGGCTCTTGCCCAAGGCTGCAGCAGGTGGGGGCCCTGCCCCTCGGCTCCCGCCCCGGCCGCCGCCCACCGGGAAGCCGGGGGCAAGGACTCGGAGGACTGGAAGCCACCGCGTCCCACAGCCTCGGCCCCTGGAAGGCCCACGGCGCGGCCAGGGCCCGGAGACGGCCTCCAGGTCGCTCGGCCGGCTCGCCTCTCCTAACTCGGGTTGTCCCTTGATTGGAGGTGTGGGGGAGGGGAGCGGGTGGAAATGGGGGCTGGAGCCGGGGTCCCCGGGGTCCCCGCGCAGGGGGCGGCCCCGGCGGGCCGGAGAGCTCCTGGGCACGGGCGGAATACCTGCCCCACAAAGGCCGTCTGGAAGCTTGTTTTAAAAAAGAAAAGAAGGAAAAAGAGACAGAAGTCTTGTGTCTGCTGAAGTGCGAAAGCGCTTCTGAGGAAACGAACTTGCACTACGTTGTCGCCGACCGTGAGGTTTTAGTATTTACGCGTGTTCCCGGGCTGTCTCTAATTTTCTGCAGCTTGATCCGATTAAGCCTCCGACCGCTGAGCCGAAGTAACCTCTGCATGTCAGGGCGTCCCTTCTAAGAGCGTGCCTGATGCCTCAGGTGGACCCCGACGGCCCCTTCCCTGCCTGCTGCCGCTCGGCGGGTGTGCGGGCAGGGGCCGTGCGGTCCCTCCTGCGGCCGCCCGCGGGCCAGACGGTTGCCAGTGTTTAAAGTGCCCCCTCGGAAGGGCTTTTGAGACGGGATGAAGCCAACGTTTGCAGGTTTAGCGGTCCGGCCTTGTGGATGAAACGTCTTGCTTCTGGGACCACTCGGTGTGCTGTGTGTGCTGAATAAGTTAACGGTGGTTGGCCCATTTTCTCTTCGTACCTGTGGTTTACTGTTACATGGCGTGTGGCTGGTTTAGTTTTCCCACCATCGAAATGGAAGGGGCTTAACGTCAAAGCTGTAATTCACCAGCATGCTTTATTATTAACGGCTTCATTATAATGCTGACGTTCATATGTGACCTTCGCTGAACATGAAAGCACCTTCCTTTTCATTCCCCATTGGTAAAGTCTCCTTAAATGCTGGTTAAGATATCCTGCCTTTTTGAAGAAGAAAATAAAACTGTGTTCTTGATTGAATAGCCTAAGGAATTAATAACATTTTTTTCTTTCTTTCCTTTTTTTCTTTCTTTATGTCTTTACCTAAGAATTATTGTTATTTATACTTTGACAGGCAAGTTTTAACACACACATGTATGAGCCACACTTTAATAAGTTTGGTCATAATTATTTCATTTTGAAGGTAGGGCATATGCTATATAGTATATATGTTTTATGTTTTATTCATTCAATGGCATTCTTATTAATCTTTTCATTAATTAAGAGTTTAAAAACTTTCCCCAGGGCTAGTCTCTATAGCCAATGTCTATTGTTTGGAGATACTGGGCTTCTTAGAATGTTTGAATTGAAATCAAAAGTGGGATTCTAGACTTGGAAAGCAGTGTGGTCCCTAAGCAGTGACTTGTCAGATATTGTATGAATGCAGATCAAATCCACCCCTTCTTCATTACTGAGTACAAGTTAGTTAAAAAATATCAAACAAAGCCAGCCTTTCTATTCTATATGGAAGGACTCTACTCTCTTGGTGGTTTGAGATATTTTATTTTAAACAGGTTTCCATAGTGTCAACCTTAGTCTGAGGGAGAATCCAAGATGGGTCCCAGTCTCTGGAGTGACTTCTCTGCCACTTTGGAAAAGCTGCCTATGAAGACAATAAAACGAAACTGACCCTTTTCAAAGGGACAGAAAAAAAAAAAATCCAGACAAACTGGTGCTGCTGATTGGGAATTAGACTTAAATTGACCACCTACTTTCCCCTTTGTTCCCGAATCCTACCCCTTTAAGAACCTTGTTGGCTACTTAGGAAACTGCTCTGTCTGCTGTGGGTGTTAGGTGAGTGAGCCTGCTTAGTGCTAGGGCTTTGTTTGCATTTTTATTTAGTGCTCACTATAATCATCCAAGGGTAGGTATTGTTATTCCTGGTTTTTTTGCAGGAAAGGAAATTGAGGCTCAGAAAGGCTAAGTGACATGCCTAAGGTCACAAAAGTGTCAAGTCATAGAACCAAGATTAGAAAACAAACTGGATCTTGGTTCTCTACACTACACCCTGCTACCTTTAACTCAGTGGTTTTACATATATATATTTTTTTGATCATCTGATTAAAGTTTTCATTTCTCCCCAGAAAAAATGCCCATATCAACATACTTGAAATCTTGCACACAATTTCAGGGTCCACTTGCTCTCTAAAGTCCTTCCCAGGCTCTCAGGTCTCCAATCTCTGCTCTAATTATATCTATTACTGAATAAGGCAGAAAGCATATATGTACTATATATATGTACATATCTTTTACTGATAGAAGCAGCCCTTGAATCTGGTAACTTTCAACTAGTTGAAAATTCACTAGTAATGGAAATAAATAGAAAAATGACATTTTACATTCTAACTGATTCTGCAAATGTCAGAAGTGCAGTTTAGAGCAATGGTGCTTATTTGAAACCAGATCTTTAGTTTGGGCTTCTTCCTGCAATAGCAAAGACTATGGATTTGTGCCTATAGTCACTAAATAGAAATGTTGGGTTTGTTTTCCTCCCTAGAGATGGCAAATCCCGAGGTGGTTGTAAATCGTTGCAGCTCTCAGGAAGAGGAAAATCGCTGCACTTTCAACCAGCATACATCTCCATCTGAGGAGCTTCTATTAGAAGACCAGATGAGGCGAAAACTCAAATTTTTTTTTATGAATCCCTGTGAGAAGTTCTGGGCTCGAGGTAGAAAACCATGGAAGCTTGCCATACAAATTCTAAAAATTGCGATGGTGACTATCCAGGTATGCATCTCAGATCATGAGTTTGATGAAAGCCTCTTTTAATAACAAAGAGAACTATGTACAGTGGTTTTTATAACTTTTAAATGTATGAATAATGGAGAAGAATAAAAAATAAGGAAACATATCATCTTAAACCCTTCTCCCTTTACTATTTGAAATATATGAAATTTATGATATATAAATATATATGATATATGAAATATATGAAAAAATGGCTTTTGTTCCTTACTTTTTTCTTCTTGTCTTTCATTAAGTTATAATTTTAGTTACATAATCTAATTAGTTTTTGGGAAAAGAATATATTAATATTTGGCTTCCAGTCAAGAGGTCTAGATGAGGGTTTCTTAATCAGCCATGGAAACCAGTGTTGCCTGACATGAAGACTTTCTTTTTCTTTCTAGTTAGTTTCCGGAGAATTTCTCTCTCATTAGAAACTTCAAGGGTTTCTGTTACAGGCAAGTTCTTAGGTTCTCACAGCCTTGTGATCATGAGAATTGTGGAGTGGAAGAATGTGGTGTTAACACAAAGGGAGTGGCATTAGCTAGTAAAATATCGGACTGAGTTTTAGTTCAAAGGGAAATTCTGAATCTCATTTATTTGGTTTCTTTTAATATTTTTTGAGAAATCATATTTTGTCATTCTTATATATACTGGTTGTGATTATTCTTATGAAAATATGTTTTCCTGCTGGTGAGAGTAATTGCCTCTTGTTAAAAGCAAAGAGGCAAAATTAAAGCAGATTTTAATGAGAAAAAATAGATGCATTAGGTTTATTTTTATTATTGCTTTATCTTCTTGCTAACAATGCATAAGTAAATAAACAAATTATATTAAAGGAGAGATTTTTTAAAAACCTGTCATTACTAATCTTAACTGCTTATTGAGAACAAATGCTTATGATTGTTAGACACTAAGGCAATTTCTACAATTATATGAGGTTGGTAGAATTCTTGCTTAAGTTTCTAATACTAGATGTTGTATTAAGGGAAACAAACATTTGAGTGACTACTCTGTTCCAGTACATTCTTTCATTTAATTCTAATAACATTCCTGTTGAATAAATGCTTGCATCTCTCATATTACATAAGAGAAAACTGATGTTAATAGAAGTCTTTAAAAGTCATATGGCTAGACAGTGGCAAAATTGTGACATTAGAGGCAGGCACTCTCTCTAATATATCACCCTGAAAATAGATGTCCAATTCTCAATATAGTATTTGGCAAGTTGAATTTAAAGTTCTTAACTTTCTTGTGATAATACAATGTGTCACAATGGTGAAAAATTTGTGTGTCTTATTTCGTATGGGGGGAAATGCCTGTATCAGTTGAACATGAATATTTTCTACTTAGAATAATAATAGGTACTACATGAGTATTGCTGTTTACCAGACTAAACATTTAACAGACATCATCATGTTCAATTCTCAAAACAAATTGGAGGTAGGTAGTGGTATCCTCATTTTACAGATGAAAACACTGAGGCTTCATAGGGTAATTAACCTGTCATAGTCAGGAAACTAGAACAGTAGAATTGAGATTCATACTCAGATTTATTTCCTCTAAGACTTATGTTCTTAATTACTCCTTAATTTTTAGGGAGCTCATCTAATCTTCCTGTGTTTACTAGGGTGGTCAAGAGGAGGACTGGCCCATGGTTTAGATATTAAGCCTGTTAGTAATAATCATGTAAAAGGTGTTTAGGTAAGTTTTTAAAAGGAACTGAGGATTTCTTTGTTGCGATGTTTCCTTAATTTACATCTTAGCAATCAAAAAACTACCACACTTACATAACATGTGTGGTGCACACCACCCAGGGATTGGACACATGGGGGGAGGGAGGGGGGCAGGGGCAATATTTGTAACCCTAACAATATTTGTGCCTCCATAATATGATGAAATAAAAGGAAAAAAAAATACCACACAAAGGCAACTTTGTAACTGAGAAAATGAGGTTTACTTGGTTACAGATTACCTCTTTTCAGGGAAAAGAAGGTGGGCTTTCTGTTGAGATTTTGTGTCTAAATCAGCAAAAGACAGATGTCTATAGTGATAGGCACCCTACTGAAAATTTCCCTTTTCCCACTACCTGGCTCAGTCTCTGAATTATAGCAGTTCCCTCTCAGCTATTGTCACTTCTGTCTGCCACTAAGCCTTTGATGACAGAGACCAATTGTCTTCTCATTGTATATCCTCTGTCCCTAGCTCAGTGCTGACACATGGAAGGTGTTCATGTATTTGAATGATTGGTAAGAGCATCTTTGGGAATTCTTTGGAGGCTTTTTAGTCACCATCTTCAATAGATAATAATAAAATCCCTGGAATATCAAGCTATCATCTTATTGGGATTTAAATGAGGACACTTAGCTTAAAGAGGCTCTTCAGAAATGAGGGTTATATGTGTGGAGTATAGGCCATATGTCACAAGCAGAGAGGAGAGGGGAAAAATTAATTTATTCTCTGTATTTTTCCTGATCAGCCCCTGGATTACTTTGTGTGGCAATGATAGGGTGGATAGAGACTGGATTTAGCCTGTCAGATATGGGTTCAAATTTTGACCATATACACATTGCCTAGTGATATGGCTTGAAAAAGTCATTTCTTCTCTGGGTGTTCATGTATGTATATGTAAAACTTTTGTATTAGGAACTATAATGCAGGATTAGTACGAGGAAAGTTCCTGAAATAGTATATGGCCCATAGACTCTATCCCACCTTCCATATAAAATACACCCTGCCTCACTCTGGGATCTAAGTCAGAGTATAGTTAGAGTGCAATCTCTAGTTACATTGTGTATGAGTGGTAGGCGGTGTTGGGAGGGAAGAGAAGATGAAAGAGAGACTTGGAGTAAAATCAACTTTGGGGTTTGATTGAAAAGCCTTTTGTTAAAACAATGACAGTGCAGTGAAACAACTTTTTTGTGTGTGAACAACTGAGTTTCATGTAAAACTCTGAGGTCAATCCTCCATGAATATTAAGGATGTGTTATATACTATAATTTAGAAATGCATTGAAGGGATATTTTGTATTTTTGGTCTTATTGTCACAGTTTTGGTAATTAGACCTAGGAATATAATCTGGTCATAGGACTTGGACTTTCTTACAGTATGTTATCCACCTGCTGCAAAACCTTCTTGATGTCCTAGAGAATTCATTGTAAACTCTTCTACTTGCTATTCAAGCCCCTGTGCCCTCTGCCTCCACTTTTTCTGCTCACATTTTCCACCTTCTTACCTTTTCTTTTTTTCCTTTTAAGCTGGTCTTGTTTGGGCTAAGTAACCAGATGGTGGTAGCTTTCAAGGAAGAGAACACTATAGCATTCAAACACCTCTTTCTGAAAGGGTACATGGACCGAATGGATGATACCTATGCAGTGTATACACAGAAGGATGTGTACGACCAGGTCATCTTCGCAGTGAACCAGGTAAATCAAGTGTATGCGTTAGTTGCTTGGGAGACAAAATAGATTGGAAAAAGCAATGTAACCAATAAGCAAATGTAGAAGGGTGAACATCTGCTTGGAAATGACTTATGTATAAAATCATTTTTAAATTGTTTTTAAAAAATATTGTCAATGAACATTTACAAAACTAGAAATTAAGACAGCTTTTGTTTAGTAACAGAGAAACAGAAACTTTAAAGATTTAATTAAAAGAATCAGAGCGAGGGCTTGGCATGGGAGCCTCAAATGTTTAAGATTACTAACCATGGCCCTGGTTGTAAGTAGTCATTAAGTCTTCAGAGCTTAATATTTTCACCAGCCCTTAACAAATAATGAGAATATTAACTTTGCAGAGTTTGTATAGCAACCACGACTTTAAAATTCACTTAAAAAATAAGCAAGGCCTTTAATCATACATGACAATGATTTTATTGTGACATTGACTAACCACTAAACAACAAGTAAGCTTGTTTTTCATGCAGATGAAACTATTTCATTCTGAGTTTCTAATCAATTAGTTTTGCTATAAACAGTACCTACTAAAGATCCCAAATTTTGTTTTTTGTAGGTATCATTGAAAGTTTTCTTGAAGTCAACATTCCCAACCTGGGTTAATTTGCAGACCATATTTCAAAATTATTATAACTCTTCTTCAAAAAATTATTATAGTATAATTGTGGTTCTTCATTTTTTAGAGATAATCTAGGCACAGTGAGACAGTAAACTGCTAGGATAAAATATATATTTATGGCACCAAGGCTTTCTGTTAGCATTGGGAAGCAAGAAATCTATAGTAATATAAATAAGTTGCATAAATTGTTAAACAGCATTATGTCCTACAATGGTGGTGGGGTGAGGGGAATAGCATAATGTTAGAGATAATTTAGTTTTAAGAATTTTTTTAAGTGTCTTAAGTTTCCCAAACTAGTCTGAACCACATTGATAGTTTTGTGGGTATTTTTTTTTTTTTTTGGTGGTAAGGGAATTAGAGGCAAGAGGTAAACAATCCATTACATTCTTTATAAAATATCTTTATCCTTATTAGTAGGCCTAGACTCAGTCTTCAGAAGATAATATTTGGTATTCAGGCCATTCTGCTTATCAGATCTCCATGTTCTTTACAGAAATTCATGTAGATTCCTCATTATAGTTGTCTTGGTCCATTCTTGCTGCTACAATAAAATACCTGAGTAATTTATAAACAACAAAGATTTCTTTCTCACAGTCTAGAGCCTGGGAAGTCCAAGATCAAGTTGGTGGTAGGTTTGGTGTCTGGTGAGGGCTTGCACTTCCTTGTTGCATCCTCACATGATGGAAGGTGGAAGGGTAAAAGGGCCTAGATAGTCTCCTCCAGCCTTTTATAAGGTCACTAATCCTATTCCTGAGGGCTCTACATTCAAACCATAGCACTAGATTATAAATAGATAATACTAATTGCATAGGTGTACCTTGGGCAGATGATTTTCTACTATCTTCCAAGTACCATTAGGCACTTTTATTTGAAGATAAAAAGTGTCTTGATCAAAATTTGAATGAATAAGTAAGGATTTGGGGGTTAATGAGGTCAGTTATTCTGCATGCTTCCAGAGAACTGAATATGGGCTGATATTAAAGGATGAAGGATCTTTTGTTTTCTGTAAGGAAACAAAGTTTCCTTGCCTGATAGTTGAGGTGATAGTTATGGAGGGAAACTGACAAGACGAACAGTCACCTCTCAGTCCTTACAGGTGATATCCATGACTAATCAGTTATCCTGAAGGGTACCATGGTTCATTGTGATCCAATACTATGATTATAATGGCATTGCTTTTTATTATATATGCTTCTATATTTAAATGTCAGAGACCTAATTATTTTGTTTTTACATGATATCCTAGCTTTCCTCTTATTTCCTCAATCCTTTTGGGGTCAGCTTTACTGGCTCCTTTTCTTCCATCTGCCCCAGAAATTTGAACAGTCCTCAAAGGCTTGTCCTTCTCCTGCAGAAGTTTCCACCACTACACAGCCTTGGCCATTACCGGGATGAGGTGACTCCCAAGCAGGTGCTCACACTGTTGCAGGCCAGACACTTCACAAGCACCGCAGGCTTACCCTGTGCAGAGTAGCTTCATATTCTCTTCCCAGATACTATCTCCAGACTGGTTTCTCTTTCTCATCAGTTGCTTAAATTAAAAGGCCTCAGGGTCTTCTTGGAATTGATTATTCTTGCAGCCCAAACATATTTTATAAATTCTTATTTCTGATTTGCTTCCCTTCTTTCCCACATACGTGCCCTACCACCTCTTGGCTGTTTTCTAAAGAATTAATCTAAAATTACAGATCTTATTGCATCATATTCTTTATATAGATAGATTTATATCTGTATATCTCTATCTGTAACAAACGGTGTTCAGCATCACAGCAGCTTATGTATTTATTCCATGAAGGCAGAGGGACATAACAGGCACTCAGATGTTTGTGAACGAGTGAATGAGCTCGACAGGCTCACTGTATGTGTCAGGATCAGGAGGTCACAGAAGGACCTCAAACAAGCAATCTATAATTAAGGAGCAGTCAGTTTTAATCTGCTTTACTTTTGGTGCCATATCACTCAGCTAAGGACCTTTAATGTGTTTTTATGTTGTCACTCAAAGGATAACTTGGGGCCCATGGGTCTGAGTGAAAGACTCCTTTTCTCAAGGCAGAGCATCAAAGGCCAGAAAGGATGGATGTGCCCAGCCTAATTAAAGCCCCACAAAGGCCACAGCCACTTGGGTGCTCTGTGCAGTCTCCCCACTGTTAATTCCACCAGTTAGTTCCAACCATAATCTCACACCACAGTCCTGTCCCAGAGTCCTCTGACTCAGGCTCCAGAGTAGAACACAGCCCTGCCACTTACCCTAGAGTATCCAGCTCTTGCCAGATGCTTAGATCTCCACTAAGAGGCCTTATTAAGACAGTAAGGAAGTCTAACTATAGCATAGCTTATGATGTCAGCAGGTATCTGCAGCCCTGGGCCTCGGATCTTTTGCCTTTCAAGATCTTAAAAGGTTTAAGACACAAGATTCTCTAGTCAGGAGGTTCTTATCTTATGGAGATTCTGGTGGGGATTGCCCCACATGTGCATATTGGACACTCAGAAGGGCTGCAGGGCCCTGTCACAGCTATGAATCTGATGTATGGCCTCTGCTTGCCTGTCTAGACTAGGGCCCTAACAGTGAAAGTGATGAGAGGCAGTCAGATTTGAGGTGGTGAGGAAGCTCAGATCTTTTGGTGATTCCTGTGGGGAGATAATTTGAAAGTAATGTATAACTTTCTGATGGACTGGAAGTGGAATATGGGAAGAGGAGACAAAAGGTCTTTCCTAAGTTTTGGCCTGAATATCTGATTGACTTACAGAGTCATTTAGAGAGAAGGGGATTACTGTAAAAGCAGCAGGTTTTTCTGTTTGCACATTTATTATGTTCAAGATTCCTCTTAGACACCATAGGCATCATGTAGGCAGATTGCTTTTCAAGTGCAATATTCATTGAAGAGGTCAGGGCTGGAGATGCAGATTTGAAGTTGTCAGCATATAGGTGGTGTTTAAAACAAGGGACTAGTTGAAGTCACCTGTGGAGAGAATGTGGATAAAGAGGTTGTGGTCTGAATCCAAAGGCACTCCAAGATGTAGAGGTTGGCAATGCGAGGATTGAGCAAAGGAGACCAAGAAAAAGCACTTCAGTGTTTCTGAAGTCAAGTGCAGAAAGTATTTAGTGCAGGGGAAACATTCAGCTGCATCAAATACCATGGAGATGTTAAGTTAGGTGAGGACTGAGAACAAAGCATCAAATTTGGCAACATGCTGCTCGTTGGTGACCTTGACAAGGCCCAATTCAAAATCCAGCCCATAGACCTAGATTATAAATTATTTCCTTCATTTAGCATAGCATGTTTCACATGCATCTTTTAGTAGAATTCTTTTTCTATGTGTCTATTGCACAAAATTGTTAATTTCAAGAGAGATGCCATATATACTTTTATATAACCAGTTGTGCCAAACATATTGCTCACAGACGGTTCTGAAACACCTTGTTTCAGAAACATCCACAAAAATCCATTAAGAGTTTAAGTTGACAATTATTACAAGGTACCATAAGATTCTCATTTGTAAAAGTAGTATTTTATTTTATTGAGGACTCACTAAGATAGGGGAATATTGCTATGAAAGTGATTAAATTATATTCTTGCAAAGATAAAATCTATGTGTGTATGTGTGTATTTTTTTTTTAAGAAAAGGTTTTGCTGGTTAGCCTTGAACAATTGTATCCCACTTCTTATACTTGTATTACAGTAGGAAAGTAGAACTCTGACCTTACAGAAAATAGTTCAAAGATAAATAAAATTTGTATTAACATTGAATTTAAAAATCAGTCCCTGAACATAGTTCTTAAGGGAGGAAAGAACCTCAAAGATTATGTGGCTTCAGACTTTAATTTTTTCAGATAAGGAACTAGAAGCTCAGAAAGTTTGTCACAGAAAATAGACTGGAACCCAGAACTCTAATTCTTAGTGCTCCCAGCCATCTGCCTTCGTGGTGCACAGCAGCGGGTCACTTAACGCTGCACATCAATGTGAAGATCTCCACCCTGAGGGGAGGTGGAGACCTGCCAAGTTCAAAGGTGGGGAGGGAGGGACATCATGGTTTCACTTCTGCCCTAGCTGGCATTCCCATTTTCTGTTTCTCCTTTTGGCTGAAGTACTTGCAGCTGCGCAACGTCTCAGTTGGGAATCATGCTTACGAGAACAAGGGCACGGAGCAGTCTGCTATGGCAGTCTGTCAGCACTTCTACAAGCGAGGAAACATCTGTCCTGGAAATGATACCTTTGACATTGATCCAGAAATTGAAACTGGTAATGTTCATCTATAAACTAGGACTTCAATTTTTAATTTCTTGGTTTATACTTAAAATCAGTCATTTCATCTCTGAAAAGATTGATTTGGTGTGTGCTATAAGGGAATAGTAAGAACTATTTAGGAGTTATTATGTGTCAGGTACTGTTCTGAGCTAGTTACTGTAACTTAAGAATCCTCAAAAAAAAAAAAAAAAAAACCAACAAAGAAGTCATCAGCATTTTCCCCATTTTATAGTATGGTTCAGAGAATTAAGTAATCTGTCCTACATGGAGCTAGAAGAGGGAGTGCTAAAATTGGGCCCAAGCTGTCTGCGCTCTTAGCCACTATATGTTACCACCTCATGCTTAATACAACAGTTAAATAGGTAGATTTTTATGCTTACAGAGCATTATGCTTGCAAATACTTGATGTATATAAAACTTCCTCTCCCCAACAGCACTTTGCTATTTAACGTCTTTGGGGTAGGTTGAGAGAGAGGAATGAGAATCAGAACTTGGAATAATGCAGCTTATTCTTATTAACAACTTGTACCTATTAATAAAATGTCAGCTTAGGTCATTGAATTAAAAAGTAAGTATTCAAATACTTTTATAGACATCAGGATTTTTTTTTCACAGGGATAGTAAAGGATAACAGTACCAACTAGTGAAAACTTTCTAAAATACTATCTTCCTTTTTTTTAAGTGCTTATTGAGGAAAAGTTATCAGCCCATATTTAAAAAAATAGATCCTTAAAACTACTTAGAAAAACTTATTCACTGCAAGTACTTCAAATGATATGCTTAGGATACAAAAAAGGAGGTCGGAGGGGTTCAAAGTTTATCTAGACTTAAAAATTTTGACAGGAAGGAAGATAATATTCCATGGAACACTAATGACATAGAGTTCTGATCTTTCTCTAGCCTCCAACCACTTCAGAAATGTTGTAGCCACTAATGTCTTAAAAACAAACGAGTCATTGTAACCAGGTGGTATTGATGTTTAGCATTTAAAATCTTAAATCGGAAAAATAATAGCATCTGAATATGGTCCTAAATGTATTATCCTTCCAAAATGCAGTTTTATTTATTTATTTTAGGTACTATGTCATTTTTTTTTTGTCCTTTTCTATGGCAGAATGTTTCTTTGTAGAGCCAGACGAACCTTTTCACATTGGAACACCAGAAGAAAATAAACTCAACTTAACGCTGGACTTCCACAGGTGAGGGACGCAGATGGGAGTGCAGCTTATGTTTGTGTGTATATGTTTCCACTGGACTAAAGTCTCCTCTGTTTTCTAGACTCCTAACAGTGGAGCTTCAGTTTAAACTGAAAGCCATTAATCTGCAGACAGTTCGTCATCAAGAGCTCCCTGACTGTTACGACTTCACCCTGACTGTAAGTGTGGGTGGGGCTCAATTCGGTTCCAGTCAGGAGAAAAGTGGTTTTATCTAGTTACATGTTTCATAAGATGTTTCCATTTAAATGTGCATAGGGAAAACATTGATATATCTAGCTCTATTCTGTTGTAGTAACTTATTTCCTTGGTAATTATTTCTTCTGTACCTCAGTTTAAGTTCTACCAGAGCAGGGACCTTGTCTTGTTCATGGCTGTCTCCAGTACCAAGAACAGTGCCTGTCACAGAGTAGATGTTCAATCACAAAAGGAACAGGGGTTTGCAGGTTCTGTATGGTTGGCTCGTGGCAGCCTGTGGCTGTCTGCTTAAGGGCACTGCCAAGAGTTCTTGTTACTGTGTACCCTCACCATGGATGTTGGCAGTCTCTGGGTTATTGCTCACACTGCTTGTCCTCATCCTGCCTCTGAATGCTCTCATTCCTCTCTTCCCCTGCAGCCCACCCTATCACTTCTGCATTCTTTGTGTTCCAGTTGCAGATGGAGTATTAAGTTCTCTAGGGAGCACAAGATGTGTTTCATGGGAGTTTATCACTTTACAGGATCACAGTCCGTAACCCAGTGCTGTTTGTTAACGTACAGGACAGCATTTGAAACAACTCACCTTCATACCATCTGGAGTTCTGTCACTTTGTACTGTTTGATAGGAATAGTAGTTTGTAGCAAAAGCTGTGTCCATGATTCTCACTAATTGGCTGTAGTACTCAAGTTTTCAGAGATGGAGGTTAAAAAATTTTTTAGAATATGGTATAATGTAATAAGTATGCATAGCATTTAACAAGAAAAAGCACTAAAACTACAAGAGTATTTTGAATTAGGCTATAAATTTCGATCATAATATCAACCAGCAAGTTATGAATTATCAGTATTGTTTGTTTTTTAAAAATTGAGCTATAACCCATAGTCTCCTCTCTTTTTTCTTCTTCTCTGTCTTGAATTTGAGAAATGACACTTTTCAGAATTTTTGTAATACTGATATCTCTTTTGTGGACCCTTTTTAAATTCCTCATTTAGAAAGACATTCTATCTTCTGAACTCCCAAGTGTTTTGTGAAGTTTTTTGTTTTCTTTTCTTTCTATCTCTCTTTTTAAAAATTTTGTATGGGCTTACTACCTTTTTCTTTGTTTTAGGATTTTCTAAGTGTTTATTAACTCTGCTAGATTGAAAGTTCCTTGAAGGTAGGAACTATTTTATTAATCTTTTCATACCTCAAAAAACATAGTAGATGACACAAATATTTGTTGAATGCATAAATGAAACACTTGTGAAATCTAGATCCTTTCTATTGGCTCAATTCAGTGGCAAAAGCAACCTGGCCTGTTAGTCACATGCAGATTTGTTGGATTTTCATCATTATTATAGATCATCCCAAGCTGTACCTTTGCATTATGGATTTAGCAGTGCATCTTGTAGAACTCTTGTAGAACTTGGGGTAGAGCTTATATCCTATGGGGTGATTTAATAATAAAAGCCATTCGTGCAACTTCATTGTCATAAGTAAATGTGAACTGGGTAGCATGCACCTGATATAAAATGTAGGGACTTTAGAGTCAGATAAACCTAGATTTCAGTTCCAGCTCACCAGTTAGTAGCCGTGTAACTTTAGGCAAATTATTTAATTGTTTTGTGCCTCAGTTTCATCTGTGAAACAAAATTAATACCTACCTACCTGGCAAGGTTGTCATCGAAATATAAAATAATATACATAAAGGACTTACCTAAGTAACTGGTATATACTAGATAATTGATTCATTGAACAGCTTTTTAAAAACCTTTGCTGTGTGTGCCCAGTTGGATTTAGAATGGAAAAGTAGTACATTAGCATTCATGCATAGTAGTTTAATACAATTTTGTATCATGTATTTTTTTTTTTTTGAGACAGAGTCTCACTCTGTTGCCCAGGACTGGAGTGCCGTGGTGTCAACCTACTTCACAGCAACCTCAAACTCCTGGGCTCAAGAGATCCTCCTGCCTCAGCCTCCCAAGAAGCTGGGACTATAGGCATGTGCCACCGTGCACAGCTAATTTTTCTATATATTTTTAGTTAGCTAATTAATTTCTTTCTATTTTTAGTAGAGACGGGGTCTTGCTCTTGCTCAGCCTGGTCTCAAACTCCTGAGCTCAAATGATCCTCCAGCCTCAGCCTCCCAGAGTGTTAGGATTACAGGCATGAGCCACCGCGCTGGCCTGTATCATGTATTTTGAAGCTCTTTATTAGGTATATGAACACCTAGGATTCTTGTGTTCACTTGATGAACTAACCTTTTTAGCATTATGCAATGGTACTCTTACCTCTACTAATATTCTTTGTTTAACATCTATATAGTTGCATGTTAATATAGTTACTCTAGCTTTCTTTTGATTAGTGTTAGCATGGCATATCTTTTCCCATCCTCTTAATATCAACCTATTTGTGTTTTATATTTAAAGTGGATTTCTTGTAAGGCAGGGTATTCTTGGGTCTTGCTTTATTATCCAATCTCACAATCTCTACCCTTTAATTAGTGTGCTTAGACCATTTATATTGTTTGCAATCATTAATATAATTTCCTTTTTTTTTCTGCCTTCTTTTGGATTGATTATTTTTTATGACTTCATTTTATTTCGTTTGTTATCTTATGAGCTATATAACTCTTTGTTGTATTATGTGGTTTAAAGTATACATCTTTAACTTATTATAGTCTACCTTCAAGGGATATTATACCACTGTGTTTACAGTGTAAGAACCTTACACTGCAAGGAACCTTACACTGTAAGAACCTTCCACTGTAATGGAATATACTTCCATTTCTCCCATCTTGGCCTTTATGTTATTGTCATATAATTTATTTCTATATGTTATAATCCCTGCAATACACTGTTATTAATTTTGTTTTAAATAATTATCTCTTAAAGCAATTTGAATAATAAGAAAACATCTTCATATTTGCCAATGCAGTTACCATTTCCAGTGTGCTTCCTTCTTATACGTAACTCCAGCTTTCCATCTGGTATCATTTTCCTTCTGCCTGAAAAGTTTCCTTTAACATTTCTTATCGTGCAGATCTGCAAGTGATGAATTCTTTCAGCTTTTGTATGTCTAAAAAATATTTAACTTTCCTTTTTTTAAAGATCATTTCACTGTGTATAGAATTCTATTTTGACCGGTTGCTTGGGTTTTGTTTTGTTTTTGCCCCATACTTTAAATATGTTCTAGCTTATACTGTTCCTGATAGGATAGGACCTGCTGCCATCTTTACCTTTATTCTTCTGTATAGGACGTGGTTTTCCCCATCTGGGCACTTTGGAAACTTTCTCTTTGTCTTTCATTTTAAACAATTTGGTTGTGAAATGCCTTGTTGTTATTTTCTTCTTATTTTCTGTGATTGGGGTTCATTGAGTGTCATAGGTCTGTGGGTTGATAGTTATCATTATATTTGGTATTTATTCAGCATGATTTCTTCAAATATTTTTTTATGTTATTGTCCCCTCCACCCCCTGTCCTTTTTCAGAGATTCCAATTATATCTGTGTTTGGTCATTTGAAGTTATCCCATAGCTCACTAATGCTGCTTGTTTGTTTTATGTTTCAGTCTTTTGTGTGTGTGTGTGTGTGTGTGTGTGTGTATTTCATTTTGTATAGTTGCTATGTTTTCACATTCACTAGTTTTTTTTTTTTTTCTGTGCTATCTAATCTTTTCTAATCCCATTCAGAACTTTTCTTCTTTGTTTGAGGGATTCAGCTTCTTCTGAGCATCTTACCAAGATGTGACTGACATTGAGCCAGTTTGTTTACTCAATAGGTATTTCATGAGCACCTATTATTTGTAAAACCCTGAGGCCCTTTGTGTGGGAAAAACATGGTTTCTCCTTAACAAGGATTTCTGACTCAGTCAAATAACACTGAGCATCTTCCTTGCATGAGGCCGTGGGATGGGTCTGCCAGCTGTTGTGGACATGGACAGACAAATCCATGGATTGTCAAGGAAAGAAGCTTACAGTTCATCAAGAGGAGAAATAGAATGACTAAACCCTTTAAGGTCATTTGAAATCTTATATCTAAAGTGATATAAGATCTTATATCCTCCACATGGAAAAGCTTCAATAAAATTCATTTAAGTGACAGACTTTTCAAGAACTTTTTTTCTTTAGACTTGAGAGAAAGAGAAGAGACAGGGGGGAAAATGGACTGATTTTCTTGCCTTGCCATCCCTGTCCTGCCATGGGGACAGGGAAGGGAACTGGAGCAGAAGACAGTAGAAAAACTATGGAAGGTGTTCTGGCATAGCTTTGTCCTGCTTGGCACCTGGTGTCTTGAAGTGGCTGTCCTTGGAGCAAGGCGTGTCTGTTGACTCCCTGACACCAAAAGCTTTGTAATACACATTATGCTAAAGTGACTAGGAAATCTGGGCCCATAAAAAATGGGAAAAGTCTTAAGGCAAAAATAATGGAAGATCTAGTTTAACTTTCTCATTTCACAGAGAAATAATGGGAACTTCCCAAGGCTGAACAGAGTTAACAACAGGTTTGAGATGAGAATATAGGTCTCCTGTCCCCTTGAAAGAATTGTTTCTTAATTAGTAAATAGAGGTATCTTGGGTTCATAAACTATAGGTATGTTTTTGACCCTTTTCCTGTCTTCACAGATAACATTTGACAACAAGGCCCACAGTGGAAGAATTAAAATAAGTTTAGATAATGACATTTCCATCAGAGAATGTAAAGACTGGCATGTATCTGGATCAAGTAAGTGATGAGCTTTACTGGTTTTCATAATGGTTAATTTATTTTATTTTTTTTTGAGACAGAGTCTCACTTTGTTGCCCAGGCTACAGTGAGTGCCATGGCGTCAGCCTAGCTCACAGCAACCTCAAACTCCTGGGGCTCAAGCAGTCCTTCTGCCTCAGCCTCCCAAGTAGCTGGGACTACAGGCATGCGCCACCATGCCCAGCTGATTTTTTCTATATATATTAGTTGGCCAATTAATTTCTTCCTATATATAGTAGAGACGGGGTCTTGCTCTTGCTCAGGCTGGTTTTGAACTCCTGACCTCAAGCAATCCACCCGCCTCGGCCTCCCAGAGTGCTAGGATTATAGGCGTGAGCCACCGCGCCCAGCCCATAATGGTTATTAAATAATGTAAAATGGTTATTAAATTACTGCCCCTTGGATTGGTGGAACATCAAATAAAAGATTGGACCATTTCCAAGTCCCTAATTCTCTCTAAGCAGATGAACTCATAGTTGATATCTGATGTTTCAGGCAAAAAATACCTAAGTCACTCATCGCTGAAATGGCCTTCCTTACCTTCTTCAGGTGCCCTTACCTGCCCACTCCTCACCAAGAACATACTTATGGTTCTGTACCAAGACTCTACATGTGTATACCCAAACCAATTCTTAATTGAATGCATGCTGCCTAAGTACTTCCACCTTTATTTTCCTCATTTTATTATTTAAAAATATCCTTGAGATAGGTAGAACCCTTATTTTCACAGATGAAGAAACTAAGACTAAGAAGAGACGCTTGGTACCTGTGGTCATACAGCCAGGGAGATGTCAGGTAGAATTTGACCCTAAAGCATCCGACACATTATCATTGCCTTTTATCCAGGTTAAAAAGTAGACTAGGAGCTGGGCATATTGGCACACACTTGTGGTTTTAGCTACTTGGGAGGCTGAGGCAGGAGGATCGCTTGAGCCCAGGAGATTGATACTTCAGTGCATCATGATCATGCTTATGAATAGCCACTGCATTCCAGCCTGGGCAACACAATGAGACCCTGCCTCTAAATTTAAAAAAAATGTTTAAAGAAGATTAGAGAAAGAAAAGGCCTGTTCTTAGAAATATGGACAAGAATTCAGATATAGACTGAAGACTGTCAAGAATTTTGAAGCTGAACTGGGGAAAATTGCCTGGAAAGAATTTATTAATATCTATCTCATTTTCTAGTCCCTCATAAGTAACATAATGGTATGTTGTGCTGGACTTAATGATTAGGTCAGGGGTTTTCAGATTCTTGTGAGCAAAAGAATCTTACTGGATACCTGTTAAGATGCAGTTTCCCCAACTCCATGCAAGACAGTCAGCAGGTCTGAGGTGGGGTTTAGGAATGTATAGATAGCCCTTATTCAGACCGTCCTTGGATAATCACTGTTTTAGGTTTGCCTACTGATTGATTTGCCAAGTTCAGAAGTAATAACAAGATAGTAAAAGTAAATAAAGTGAAATTTCATCACTGTAGAATTCTTTTCCCTAATAGGTAACTTCAAATACATGAAGCTCTTAAATTATAAATTGTCATTTAAATCACAAGCTTATTTGAAACACAAACCTCTTTTGTCATCTGTAAACTTTATAATGCTTCTCCACAACTTTAGAATAAAGAAAATGAGAGGATATAAAAGTGCCTGGCACATAGGCCTTGTCTCAAATATTTGTTTCTTGGTTTTTAAGTTTTTCTGAAGTAGATTTAGAAATTTGTATAGCAATTAGATGCCCCTTGGCAAACATTAATGGGATGCTTCATCACAGAACTAGTCTTGAGTCCTTCATCTTTTCACCAGCATAGAGCAGTCTAACTTGAGAAATAGAGACCAGCTCTGTAGCGGGCGGAGCATGTGAGGGCCGACACCTCTGCCCACCTCTCTTCATTGGCTCCACTCATGTCGACCAGGACTTTGCATTTTTGATTCTCCAGAATCTCTGCAAGGGTGGCTCTTTCTCATCACTCAGGTTTCAGCTAAAAACTACTTTTCCCCTTACTATACAATATAAACGAACTCTCTTCTCTCACATTCCCCCAAATTAACCTCCCTCAGATACAGCAGTGGTTCTCAAATTGTAGCATCATCTAGAGGGCTTGTGAAAACCCAGAGTTTCTGATTCAGTGGGTCTTGGTAGGACCCAAGAATGTGCATTTCTAACAAGTTCCCAAGGAATGCCAAGAACCACTGATATAGACTGATGGGTACTGGAAACAGACTGCCAAGGTTTGAATCCTGAGTCTGCCACCTACTGGCCCTGTAACCTTGGGCAAATTATGTGACCTCTGTGCTTCAGTTTCTCACCTGCAAAGTGGAGATAATCATCCCCACCTCACTGGGGTTGCTGTGAGGATCAAATAAGATGATACATACAAAGTGCTTAGAGCCATGCCTGGAAAGAAATGTGCTCAATACTTGTTATCTATTATGATTTATTTTCTTTATATCACTTACCACTACCTGAAAGCATTTTATTCCTGTACTTATTTACTTCTTTGCTTGTCTCAGTGCAGCAGAGTAGAAGTTCCATAAGATCAGAGACCTTGTCTGTCTTGTTCACCACTGTATATTAGCACCTAGAAAAATGGCTGGTACATAGTGGGTGCTTAATAAATGCTTATACCTAGTTAAGTAGGTTTTAATAGAATATGCAGGGAAGCTAATTGTATTAAGAACAAAAGACCACGAGGTAATAATTAAAGATTGTGGATTGGTTGTGGTGTTTTTAAAAGTACTTGTAACCTGGTTTAAATACTAATTGGAAGAATGCTTATTGAGGCTTTTTTTTCTTTGTTGTCTTACTGGAAAGAATGCTTGAATTATCTAAATTATTCTAAAAAGAAGTAGATGTTACCATATTTGTTTCCCACTACATAATCACTATATAATATTTTTTGCTTTCAGTTCAGAAGAACACTCATTACATGATGATCTTTGATCCCTTTGTCATTCTGACTTGCTTAGCTTCGTTAATCCTCTGCGTTAGATCTGTGATTAGAGGACTTCAGCTTCAGCAGGTAGGGTTGTTGCTTTCTAGGAATGCTACTGATATTTTGATTGACAGAGAAATTCACTGTGCCTCTCCTCTTTTCCCTAAAGGAATTTGTCCAGTTTTTCCTCCTCCATTATAAGAAGGAAGTTTCTGTTTCTGATCAAATGCAATTTGTCAATGGATGGTATATTATGATTATTATTAGTGACATATTGACAATCATTGGATCAATTCTAAAAATGGAAATCCAAGCAAAGGTAAACTTTTTTCCTAATCATGTTACTGTTAGTATCAGATTTGGATTAATGGTAATGTATTTTTCCAGAATGTGAGAATTTTCAGAGTAAATGATTTCTTCCAAAACTTACAGCAAGTAAACTTGAAATCAATAATAGTAATTTTCTTAAATCTAGTCAGGAAGTCTCTTAGGCAGAGTTTTTTATAGTGAGATCCACAAACCACTGCATTAGGATCATTTGGATACCTGGTAAAAATGCCCCACGTTAGACCTACTGAATTCAAATTCCTCAGGTGGGGCCTGTGAATTCTTACACACACCAAAATTCATACACACACCAAGGTAACTAAGGCAAGAATTTTTAAAAACAATCTTACAAGAAATGCTAAAATCTTCAACAAAAAATGAGTGAGGCTAAAGGGGAAAGTGAGGTCAAGGTACTATTGTGTGAGTGCTTGCATTTGTTTCCTCTGTCCATTCCAAGTGAGAATGCTCCCATTTTCTTACTTTTCTCATTGATGTTGACGGAGTTATCCATTTTAAGTTAAGATTAGCCTAGCTGAGAAATCAACTCTCCCACCAAAACAAAAAACAAATTAAAAATGCTAATATTGTTCAAAGGAATCTTGCTCACACTTATATTTTCTTAGTTTTCATGCAGCTGATTCTGAGTCATCTGGGGGTTGGTTTTAAGCCTGGGCAGAGACCCCAAATGCAATGGCTCAGATAAAATAGGAGCTTCTTTCTTTCTTATATAATAGCCAGGATGGGTTTTACAAGTTGGTGAGTAGCTCAGTTCCACACAGTCATTCGGGGACCCAAATCTTCTCCCATTTTATTTCTGTGCCAGCCCTTGAGGGCTCAGCCTGACTGCATGGTTGGCACTGGATCACCTCACAAACAAGTTGCAGCTTATGGGAAGCAAAAACAGGGTATAGTGGAAGCTCTCCCACAGACTTACAGCAAGACTAGCAGGCTTTGTTTCAGTTCACATCCCACTAGAGAGAATTTAGTCAATCCTTACCTGCAAAAGGAGCCAGGGAATACAGTCCAGGCAAGTGCCTAGGAAGGAGAGAGAGTGGGTCTAGGTCAACACTTAGCAGCAGCCACTATATGTGGCTGTAGTATATACTATTGGAATAGATGTTTAACTTTAGGGACAAAAAACCAAAAAACAAAATCAACAGAAGAAAAGGAGCAAGGGAAGATTTGCAGAAAATCTTTAGTTTTATCAGATTCAACTGTCATTAACCTCAATGGGGTCCAATAATCTTTATACATTTTTCGAGGCCTCTCTGCCCATTTCATAGATGATCATTTCATGTTTTCTTCTCTTCTGAAACCTCTCATACCCTCGCCACATTATCACTCTAAGCTAATGACCTTGCCTCCTATTTCACAAAAACAATAGGAAAAAAAAAAGAATTTCCATAAACTCCTACTTCATTTATCCACCTCCCCAAATCAGTGTGCACATACTCTGCTATTTCTCTGTTACTGTGGATATACTGTTTCAGCCACTCCAGGGCCAGCCCCTCCACCTGCCTACCAGATGCCATCCCCACTTGCTTATTCAAATGCATGCCCCCCCCCCTCCAGTCTTCCTTCTCTGGCGTCATCAATTTCCCACTCTCTACCAGGTCATCCCCATTAGCATGTTTTGCCCCTTTTTGGAAAGATAACATCTCAAACCCTTTTCTCCTCTGCTAGCTACTTACTACCCCAATTTCTCTGCTCCGTTTTATTTAGCAAAAGACCTCAAAAGAGTAACCTTTTGACTCTGATTCTGTTCCTACCATTCTTTTTATGTCGGTTCCAATCAGGCTCCCCTGCCACTCCACAGGAAGTGTTCTTTCCAATGTCCTCCCATGCTGATGAGTCTAGTCATCAATTATTTACCCTCATCTTGACCTATCAGCAGCTTTTAACACTGCATAGCACTCACTCTTTGTTGTCACACTTTTTCATTGGGCTGTCACTTACCAGGTTTTCCTTCTAAGTCACTGTCTGGTCTTCTGACTTTCCTTTGCCGGTTCCTTTTCATCTCGCCAAGGTGACAGTGTTTCAAGACATAGTGCTTGAGCATCTTCTCTTTTCTGCTCCTGTCTTGGTAATCTCATCCTGTTGCACAGCTTTAAATAGTACCTATTTGCCAGTGATTTCCAAATCTATATCTCCAGCCTGGAATTCTTCTCTGAACTCCAGATTCAAATATCTAACTGTTTATTCTATATCTCCACTTGGATATCTACTTTTCCTCCCAAATTTAACATACTTAAGAGAACTTCTAAAAACCTCACTCACCTCCACATTCAAACCCTTCCTAATTTTGGTTAATGGCAACTCTCTTCAGTTGCTCAAGACAAAAATCATGGATTTATCATAGACTCCTCTTTTTCACTAAGCCCCTCTCTCCAACATCTAATCCAAGAGCAGATCCTGTTGATATACCTTCTAAAACCACCACATTACCTCCACTATTACCAGCCTGGTTCAAGCTGCCATCTCTCAGCTATATTATTGTAATAGTCTCCTTACTCCTCCAACAATCTGCTCTCAACCACAACAGCCAGCATTTGATCATGTCACTCCTGTTAAGGAATCTCAAATCTCCCCAACTGGGTCAGAGTAGAAGACAAAGTTGTTAAGTGCCTGGGGTCCTATACTACCTGCTGCCTCATCTCTACTGTATACTCTTTCCATTGCTCCCTCCAGCCAGGCTCACTAACTTGCCAGACACCCTTCTGCCTCAGGGCCTTTACACTTGCTGGTCCCTGTGCCTAGAAGGATCCTCCCTTAGATTTTTGCTTGACTTCCTCCCTCACTCCCTTCAGATCTTTGCTTAAATGCCATCTTTTCAGTGAGTCTTTCCCTGATCACCCTATTTAAAATTATAAACCCATACCATTCCTTATCCCTTCCCCTGAATTTTCTCTTCAGCAATTGCCATTCAGCTAATGTACCAAAGGTTCTATTAATTTATTTCTATTGTATCTACTCGTACCCCTCCCCCTTCACTACAATGTAAGCTTCATGAAGCCAGAGAATATTGTTTGTTCACTACTTTATCCTTAGCACCTAGAACAGTGCCTGACTCATAACTACCTCAATAAATATATCTTGCCCAAATTAATTTCTGTTATATTAATCTGATTATATTTTTTTCTACTCTGTCTTAGAGTCTAACAAGTTATGATGTCTGTAGCATACTTCTGGGGACTTCTACTATGCTTGTGTGGCTTGGAGTCATCCGATATCTAGGATTCTTTGAGAAGTATAATGTAAGGAATTCCACGGATCTCCGTGCTATTGGTATTTCTCTCAAAGATGTTGCACTGTGTTAGCTGAAGGACAAAGGGATTCTAATGACCTCTCTTACTTTCCCAGCTCCTTATTTTGACCCTTCAGGCAGCACTGCCCAATGTCATCAGGTTCTGTTGCTGTGCAGCTATGATTTACTTGGGCTATTGTTTCTGTGGATGGATTGTGCTGGGGCCCTACCATGACAAGGTACTGAGAAACAACTCTTTTGCTATTACTATTAAGCTCTTAGCATAGTGCCAGTGGCTTGTCATCCTTTTTAAATGAACTCCTTTTATTTTGTGATTTAACCTTCAAATGTTGAAGGTAGCATATCTATTGCCATATTTATGAAATGGTCAGGTGTGACCAACTTGAGTGAATAATTGATTCACTCAACTGCCTCAAATTCTTTTTTGCAATATGTCAGATAACTAAATCCCTTTTACTACCAGTGAAGCCAAATTTAATCAATTTGATTCATCATCTATCTATATATATATCTATTAATAGAATAGGTTATTTAGGTAAACCTTCTCAAAATGTGACTTTATTTAAAAAGTAGTATAGGGAGAAACTTGTATTAATAAAAATATTTGAATATTTTGTTCCCAGAGTTACTGTAGCCTTGAATATTATGCTGTTATCTTAAATGGAATGAACCTTAAAATGGGATTATGCATGGTTGGGACCTGGGTATTTCTGCAGAAGCATTTCGAGGTTGTCTTTCTGTGGAGGTAGAGGGGACGGGTAAGCCTTGACTCAGAAAAGCAGAAGCTGCAGACCAGCCCCTTCTGCATTTGATTCAGGTTGCTCCTGAGATGCTTGTCCTAGGAAAACAATCGTATGCTTATATATGTTATACACATTACAAAGCAAATGTGTGTGGTTACCTCAGGTTATTTGTTTGAAAGAGTAACTGGGGCTATCTGGTCCCATTATGTTTAATATGATATCATGGTCTCCAATCGGAAGATATGTGGAATAAAATGAACTTTTCTCTTTTCTTTTTCCAGTTCCGTTCTCTGAACATGGTCTCTGAATGCCTTTTCTCTCTAATAAATGGAGATGATATGTTTGCCACATTTGCAAAAATGCAGCAGAAAAGCTACTTGGTCTGGCTGTTTAGCAGAATTTACCTCTACTCATTCATCAGCCTCTTTATATATATGATTTTAAGTCTTTTCATTGCACTGATCACTGATACATATGAAACAATTAAGGTAGGTTTATCAAGAGCCATATGTGGCAATATTCTTATAGAACTTGTATAGTAGAGGTAAAATTTAGTAGCTAAAGGGAGGGAGGAAGTTGATAGGATGTTAATTTCTTCAGGATAGAGAAAAGGACTTCAGTTTTAGAGACTGAGAAACAGAAATGGAGGAGAAAATAGAACTTTTAGAATGTTGAAAGTTTTTTGTCTAAGTAATTGTGCTGTTTCAAGCAAGCTGTCTAACCTTTCATTAGAATTATTAACAGCCAGTAGATATTGGATAAATAAAACAGATGGAATTTCAGAAAGCCAGAATTTTGTGGAGAACTTTAAAAATCCAATTTTCATAAAGAAAAATTGCCCCCTTCCTTTGGAGTGTGCTGTCACTGAACCTGTCACTTTTTGCAGGGCCTGCATGGCAGCTGCCCAGAGCCTGGCCTCCTGAACAGCAGAGGGCCTGATGGGCCCTGTACTAGCCATGTGTGCTTTATGTAGTCAGAAACCTGATTTGAAAAGCTATTGTTATTCATATATTTTAAAAAATCAGTTTAAGCCTCTCGAAATATGGAAAGGCAGAATAAACAATCTTATATATTTAAATTTCTAATAACCTTATTCTCTTAGGTGTGCTATTGACATAGACACTTATATGTGGCGACTTTTCTTTCTGGGTTTAAGGGGGGTAAGGAAACATGATGCCATATAATTGCCCCCAGGGATAAAAAGAACGCCTTGGTTTGGAGTTGGTAATTATGAATATCTTGCTCATGAAGCTAGGGTTGTGACTTCATTCTTACTGAAAAAGATTTCAGGGACTAAATATCTTCCTTGGTCTCTTCATTAGAAGACAGATGTATGTTTAGGGTCACCAAAGCAATGGGGAAAGAAAGAATGGAGTTTTAACTGTCCAAATCCCTCCCAGTGGTGCTCTAAAAGTTCACTACCTTCAACTCTGCATTCAGGGAACTGCATGTGTTATTCGAGGGTGACATTGGAAATCTCTAAGAGTAACATGGGTTTTCAACTCTTGATGATATAACCTGAGACTCATTATTTAGGTTGCTCACCTCTTTTCATGGGCTCAGAGCACTTGCCAAATGGGAAAGCTAAGTTATTTCTGATCCTTTTTGGTCAGGGCATGTCCTAGAGATCTTAGACCCCAAGCTGTGATATATTAAACAAATCCACGTGCCTAGAAGAATAACTCCCCAAAAGGGTGTACAGGTTGGAAATCCCTTATAGCATTCAGATCTTTGTCCAGACACCTGAGATTGCTCAGGAACATCTAAGGCTACGCTGAGGTCTCCCAAGAAAGCCTAGGATGTCCACCCCTTGGTGCTCAACAATATCCTGTTAATCCCCATCAGTTGGGCTTCTTGTGGCCTGAACCAGGTTCCTTTCAGATGCTGCTTCATACTGGCCTGGCAGTCATGGGCCCTGCAGGGAAGAGTCCTGACAGAGGTTCTCAGACTTGGGATGGGACTGACTCACTTCACCCTGGAAGGAGGACTCACACTCAGACTCAACATGCCCATTTTGGGCTAAAGTAGACCCAGAAAAGAGAGCTAAAGAGGGCAAGTACAGAATGCTAGGCCTACTTCAGCCAAACCTGAGAGTGACTCTAAAGATTACATCTTCTTGCAAGTACTTGGAAGTGACTAAATTATTCCTCTAGAAAAATCCCCTCCCTTGCCAAATGATCTGTTTTGAATTTGTAATAAATTGTTTTCAAGGGGCTTATTAATGAGAGTTTTAAAACTTCTTTTATGTAGCATTACCAACAAGATGGCTTCCCAGAGACTGAACTTCGTACGTTTATAGCAGAGTGTAAAGATCTGCCTAACTCTGGAAAATACAGATTAGAAGATGACCCTCCAGTATCTTTATTCTGCTGTTGTAAAAAGTAACTATCAGGTTTATCTGTGCTTTAGAGGAAAATATAATGTATAACTGAGTTGGAAAACTACAAAAATATTTTGAGATCAGGTGTAGTATGCTTGAAGACTATCGTTTTGAGCGAATTGATAGCTAAAATTCACTGAGAACCATGTTTCTTTTTTTATTAGCACTATTTAATGTCTTTGCAGCTTTATGCTGGGCTTGTTTTAAAAAAACTAGCTGATGAAGGAAGCTGTTATATTATTATTCTTTCTTGTATTTGGCCATAGCTTTAGAATCTGTTTTCTATGCCTCTCTTTAGCTCTTACACTCTTGTTTCCAGCTATTCTGACTGTGTGGATTGTGTCATCAGTGGAAAACAATCCCTGGTCTGACAGTGACTTCAGGTAACTCAGTGACCCTGGCCTGGACCACTCTCGGTGGTACATTCCTGAGAGAGTGGGGATATTTACTATATAGCCAGGAATCATTGTAAAGTTTTCTTTTAAAAGGCAGAGTAAGAAACAACCATCACCAGCTAACAGTGCAATACAGTTATGTAATGCTTAATAAGAGAGATATGTTCTGAGAAATGTGTTGTTAGGCGATTTCATAGTTGTGTGAACATCACAGAGTAGTTAACTCAAACCTAGATGCTATAGCCTACTGCACACCTAAGCTAATATGGGATAGCCTATTGTTCCTAGGCTACAAACCTGTACAGCATGTTACTGTAATGAATACTGTAGGCAGTTGTAACACAGTAGTATTTGTGTATCTAAACATGGAAAAGGTACAGTAAAAACATGGTATTAGAATCTTATAGGACCACTGTCGTATATGTGGTCGATCACTGACTGAAATGCCCCTCTGTGGCACATGACTGTATTTGGTTCTGAAGGACAACTGTTATTTGATTCTGCTTTTAGTTCTGCAGTGGATCAACTTTTTAAATATTCATTTACAAGTTTTCTCTCATCCTTCAGTGTTAAAGTACAAAGTTGCAAGAGTATCTTATACATGTATGAAAATTAAAGCACATACCAAAAGCATATTTGATCCAACAATTATTTTATTAGTACTTGAACAGCATGTGAAACTTACGATGCACCGTGCCATTCATAGGCACATCCAGTCTCATAGCAAAGTGTCCTGGGGTAAGGAGCTGTGGTTTCATGGAACAACTTTCTACAACTCACATTAAAAATATTCTAGAAAACAAGTATGCTCAAAATTTAAAAATAAGTGAGAATTGTGTGTCTTAAAAAGACACAAAAATTGTCTCTAATTATAGACTGCTGATTGATAACTGCAGGGATTTTCACAGCATGAATATTTGTTTTGTATCTTATTTATTCAAATAGAAATAAATTCAATAAAAAAGTTCTTCTCAAAGCACACTTTTTTTTTTTTAGAGGAAATTGACTTTTAAATTTCTGATTGTTTTAAGGCCTAAATGAAGATAGCCTTGAGACACTGAAATCTTACTATTTAATAACAGTGACAATCATAATAATGACTCCAGGTGTTAAAATGTGAAGTTTTACGATAGGTATAAGCTATTTTTGTAGTACCTACGGCTTTTAAAAAATGAAAAGTCTAAATTTTAGGTTTAGGTGAGTATTTTGGGGGGCTTACTTTTAATATTTGTATCACTATCATTTATAGACTTTACTAGAATCCAATGTGAATTTTGAAATTATGTTTATCTGCCAAATCCTTTTCTTTATTCTTTGCGAGAGTTTTAGAATAATGATAATACTTCAATGGAAACATAAAACCACTCACCCAGTGTTAGGTCTGGAGTTTTGCTTTGCTCTGACGTCAGTATGTTTCTTCAGTGGAATTACAGCCAGTGACTTGGAGCCTTTGTATCTCCTGATTCTCTAGGCTTTCTTATTGTGACAGGCATCCTTAATAAATTCCAAGCCCTAATTTTTAGTAATGACACCCATGCGATACTAGTTCTACTATTTCCTGAAAGAAACAGCACTAATTTCCAGCACTTGTGGTCTGAAAAAAAAAAACAAACAAACAAACAAAAAAAAACCAAAAGAAACAGCACTAACTTTTTTGAACTGTCCCCAAACCTGTACAATGGCTTGATCTGGGTAGGCAGATAAATTGTAGGCCAGTCATTTTAGAGTTCTACTTACATGTATGTATGTATTGTAGAGAATGTCAAGGTAGTTGTAAGAAGGAACAGAGAATGGAAGTTATCATTTCCTCCTGGGCTTCTAGTCTCCCTAGCCCAGGAGATCAGGGCTAGACTTTCGTTGGTGATACCTACCTTTCCCTGGAGGTCAGGTCCCCTCCTTCCACTACAATAATTTTCAAGCTTGTGGGCATAAGAATCACCGAGGAATCTTGTTAAAATCATGGACATCCAAGTAATCACAGCAGAGATTTTTCTTCTTCTTCTTCTTCTTTTTTTTTTTGAGTACTTTACCAAAGCCTAAGCAGAGATTCTTATTTTCTTATTTGTTAAGTCCCAGTTGGAGGCCAGGAATCTGCATTTTTAGCAGGCACACAAGTTGATTCTGATGCAAGTGGTGTGTGGTGGCTGCATGGCCTAGAGCTGACAGGAACAGATAAAATCCCTTTTGGGGGGGCTACAAATAAGAAACCATCTACAGGGCTCAGGATTCACACTGGCCTTCTGTTAGTCAAGAAAGAAACCACATTAGTCAAGAAAGAAACTCCAAGTAAGTGGGTTTATAGAAGTCAACTTGGATATTTTAGGATTTGTGTTGTGTGTTAAAAATCATTTGTACATAGACTTTGATTTTACCAATGCCATATTTTCTTTAAACAATTCAGATGCCCTTTTCTTCTTTCACTTAATAAAGCTTTAAAATATCTAATACATATGGAGTTTTATTTATTTATTATTATTTTTTATTACTTCATATTATGGGGGTACAAATATTGTTAGGGTTACATATCTTGCTCCTGCCCTCCCTCCCCCACCCCATTATGCCAGAGCTTCTAGCGTGCCCAACCTCCAGGTGGTGTGCACCGCACCCACCGTGTAAGTACATTCCCTTCCCCTCCTCCACCTGCCCACTTACATATGGAGTTTTAATCTCTTTTGTCGCAGAACACCATTTTCAAATTAATACATATAAATAGAGAAGTGTATGGATTAGAAGAAAAAAGATAAAAAAAGATAAAAGATAAAAGAAAAAAAGATGAAAAAGATAAAAATTTGCAGATATGATGATCTACATAGAAAGTCTAACAGAATCAACAAATTCTCAAAACTTAGAAGATTCAACAAGGTTGCTGAATGCTAACATCAATTTTAAAACTCTCTAGGCTTTCTCTCCACTACTGATAATCATCTAGAAAATACAACAGAAATAAAATAGCATTCACAGTAGAAAGAAAATTATAAATTATCCAGCAATTATCTTAAGTCAGAAAGCACTAGACCTTCCCAGAGAAAATGTCCCTTACAACATACAAAAAGCATATATGAAGAATTGCAGAGATAATATATTTAGGAATGGGGGTAACTTAACACAGTAGTGATTTAATTCTCTTTAAATTAATCTATACATTCAATCTAATAGATACAAAATTTCCAAGTGCTTTTTTTGAAGTTCAAAAAAATAATTCTAAAATTCATATGAGGAAAAAGTTCCATGAATAAATAGCCAAATCAAATGTGAAAGGGAAGGACAAAAAGGAGAGAATCACCTTACCCAATATTAAGCCACAATACAAAGTCATAGGAGAATAAAAAATGTAAATGATATTAATATGTTAACAGAAGGACAAAAAGACCAATGAAAAGAATACAGAGCCCAGAAATATGCTCAAATATGTGTATTTGGGAACTTATTATGTCACCATAAAACAAGGGGGAAAGAACAGACTTTTAAAACAGGGGTTGGCAAACTATAGCCTATGGGCCAAATCTAGCCTGCCACCTGTTTTTGTATGACCCTTGAGCTAAGAATGGTTTTTATATTTTTAAATGGTGGGAAAAACAATAAAATCTAAATAACACGTGAGTCAAAGAAGAAATCTCAAGGGAAATTAAAATTATTTTGAATTAAGAAAATAAAATTATAACTGGTCAAAAATTGTGGGATGCAGTAAAAGCAATGCCTAGGGTGAACTTTATAGCATTGAATGCATATATTAGAAAAGAAGAAAGATCTAAAAATCAATCCTCTAAGCTTCCACCTTAGAAAAATGGAAAAAGGAAAGCAAATTACATCAAAAGCAAGCAGAAAAAAAGAAATGAAAATTACAGCAGAAATCAATGAAATTGAAAACAGGAAATCAATAGAGAAAATCAATAAAACCAGAAGCTGGTTCTTTGAAAAGATCAATAAAATTAATAAGCCACTAGCCAAGCTAACTAAGAAAAAAGAGAGAGGATACAAATCACTAATATTAAAGTGAAAGAGGGAACATCACTACAGATCGCATGGGCATCAAATTCTTTAGCATAAAAAGTACATAACATTTCTTAAAACATATCTCTAACATTCTCCAGTCAAGCCGCAGTCTCCCTTCTTCACCGGAGTCCACATCCTCCCCACACAGAACAGAACTGTAACATTTCTTCTTCTTTTCTCATAAAAGAGAACCTAACCACACCACTGTTCCACCCACCTTCAAGGACTGTGACTACACAGATGAAATCGTCCCAGCCTGTCTGTACCCAGTGACCTCTGATGACAGGGGCTCAAAGGCAAGGCACTTTTGCCTAATAACCCTTTGGAAGTGACTTTTTAAAAAGAGGGTCAATTATGTATGCTTTCATTGACATCGTTCTGTCCAACTGCTTTTACCTGGAGAGATGCATATTAAAATAATTACCTCGCAGAATATTCTTTGCCCTAGCTAAACCCAAAGAGTCTTTAAACACTGGCTGATCCAAAGAGCCTGGAACGCAGGACTTTTGCTGCTGCTACCTTGTGAGAGAGCCGCCTTTGGGAAGAGGCTGTCGGCCGTATCCAAACTGTCAAGTCTACATGGCCCAACATCGCCAACACGGCGTGTGCCCGCGACTCTCATCTCTTAAGATCCAGGATCGGCGACAGACTGTCCCGCCCGTTTCCCACAGGCGGCGTTCGCGCACCAACAGGGGGCGCCGGTGTGCCAAGCGCAGCCGCTCGGGCCGACGCGGGCCTGCGGCCTCCCTCAGCGCCGCCGCCGCCGCCACCCGCCCCCACACCGGAGCCCCCGGGGCTCCCAACGCGGGCGCAGGGCCATTCGCTTTTCTTTTCCTCGCGCGCTCGTCGCCCTTTTAACATCTCCGAAACGCGACCCTTGCCACTGGCTTTCGTGATCGTGCACTTCAGAATAAAGGGACGCCCGCGTGAATGAACTTGTCAGCTCGCCGCGAAGTCCCGGAGGAAAAAGACCCTGTCGTTCTCCCCCCGGCGCACACAGCACCCAACACCTCGCCTGGCGCTGAGTGTTTCCCGAACCCCTCCAACAGGAATGGCTGAAGAAATGGGCAAATGGAAGGATGTAGAAACAAGAGAGGAATGCCTGGAAGAGTGAAGGAAAGACTGGAGAAATGAGGAGCGAAGGAAGGTCGGAGCCGCGGAGGGCCGGGAGTGCCAGGTCTGGCCGCCCGGGGGCGCTGTGCAGGGGGCGTGGGCCGCCTGGCCGCTGCACGCCACCGCCGGTTCCCTTTGCAAGGCGCTTCTCCCCAGCCCTGCCTCCCGGGGGACAGTCCGGAGCCGGAGCGGGCCGGGCGGCCGCAGCGGGCACCGGGGACGAAAGGGCGGCATCCGCGGCCCGGCGCCCAGACAGGTGGGGCGGTCCCACCCTCGGCCGCTCGGGGCTGCGCCGTGCCTCGCGGCGTGGAGGCGCAGGACCTGCCGGTGTGGAAGCGCGCCTCGGGCTTGCCCTGGAGGCCCCGCTACAGGTCTGTGCCCCAGGGCGCCCCGCGGCTCTCCCCTTCCCTCCCCTCCATCCCACCGTCCCAGCCCGGGAGCCCTCCGCCGCCCGTCCCCGGACGGCTTTCCTCCTCGGGCACTCTCGCGCCCCACCGCGGCTCCAGCCGCCGCCACGGCGCCCCCGCGCGTCTCCGGGCTGGAGGGGCGGGCACGCTGACACGAGGCCTAACCCCCCGGGGCGGAGAGTTGGGCGGCACCCCTCCCAGGTGGGGCGGGGACGCCCGGCCACGCGCCGCACCCTGCCCGGCGCGCACAGAGCCGCCTTTCAGCCGCCGCGCCTGCCCTCGGCCGGGACCCGCGCGCACCGGGCGGCTGGCAGGAAGGGTAAGAGAACGGGACCCCGCCTGGAAGGGCTCCAGCTTCAGGGGACGCGTCCCGGCGAGGCTGAAATGAGTGTGCGGTGAATGGTTTTTCCTGCCCCGAATCCCGACAGCCGTGGAAAGTTCTGAAGCAGGAGGCATGTCTCGGCAGCCTTATCGTTTTCCTCAGGCAAGGAACCCAGAGAGAGGATCAGGTGTTTTCAGGTTAACTGTCAGGTGAGGCGTCTGGGCTGCATCTTTCGGGATCCAGGACTCTGGAGAAATCAATCCTCATAAAGTCGATGGCTTTACTGTTCTAGGCTAGAGTTTTCTTGCTGCCTTAGGATTTCTTGTATTAACTGCTTGCAGTTAAATTAAGTCTGGGTTTTGCCTTCCGGAACAAACAGGCCTTTTCCTCAGGTGGGAGGGTTATAGTGTGGTTAACCCCAGTTCCTCTGCCTGTATGAAAGGGCGCATAGTTCAGCCGGATGGCGCTGCCAAGGGGCCCTCCTGCGTGGTCAAGGCTCCAGCTACTCAGAGCACAGTTGGGCCGAGGTGGTGAGTACGAACAGGCCGTGGCTCCCCCCTTCTCTGCTCTCAAACAGATATAGTGGTGGGCTGTTACACTGTCTTAAAATAGTATTAAAGACCTTCTTGTTTTCCCTGCATGATGCTCTCAATAGTATAAATGAACTTAAAGCCAGCAAGGAAAGCCAGAATTCAAGAGGAGAATTTACCTAATTTTTGGTGGCTGCCCAGATGAACTATTTAATTCTCGGCAATTGGGAATATATTTTTTAGACTTGGAAAAATGTTGAATTAGAAAATATAACTTTTGTGCAAAACTCCCATTGTTAAAGGACACACACCTGGGTGTGCACACAAATAGTTTTGAAGGTGTTCAGATTTGAAATATATATACAAATATCTGGTTGTATGGTACTGGTGGGAAACAGAAGGTTGTGTGTCATTGTCAATTGAAAATGGAAGAATGGGTTATTAAGAGAGAGATGGGAAAGGTTGTCTGTGGATGTCAGGATACAGATTCTTATATTTTATGGAGAAGGAACCAACTTCATAGTTCTCCCCAGAAGTTGGACGTGGACTTCACATTGAGGAACTTCTCACCACCTCTGTGATGTGCTAACCAAAACAGCACAAATTTTGGGAAACTCGATAATTTCTTCCTATTGAGTCAGACATCTCTTGAGATTTAGCTTATCTTCCTGTTCATACTTGAAGAGAAGTCAAATTGTCCTTGCCGGGAACTTTCCACAGGCACACCCTTCTCCTTTAGTAAACCTTCCATAAACCAGGTTCTGTGGCCAGGACCCTTTAAAAACAGGCACATTTCCCCCGCTTTCCTTGACTACTCCCATACAGAGGCAATCAAAATAATGCCAATTTTATTCAATTGCCTGTACAAAAAAAAAGATAGTAAATGCTGATAAAGTGTTTGAGGTAGTCACATTCTTTTCTCCCAAGGAGGAGCATATGAAAAGTGTTGTTTTTAGAAATAAAGAAATAAATATAAAATACCCTAATGTAGCAAGTAAGAAGAGTTGGGAGATAAATTTTGATCAGAGTGGCAGAGAACACAACTGAAAGTCAGGAATGATCATATTCACAAACTGATCATTTTGGTTAGGCTTCTGTTGGTGAAGTGAAATGCAGAAGAAGACAATTCTTAAAACTTTGTGGAAGAAGAGGTAGCTTCTTGTGGCTACAGTTTTCAAAGTAAAAATAATGGCCAAAGAAAACTCTTTTGGCTTTAAAAGTTAAAAGTGGACTCTCCCCTGAAGATGGGCTGTTCTGTTTGGCTTAGGCTTAAGTATTAAGTTCCATGTGTCAGTTTTAAAGAAATAAATTACTCTTTAGTGAGCTCTTGCATCACATGTTAAGGGGTTCACAGAAAAATTTAGGTATACTTTGTTTTATTGCACTCCATTTTATTTCATGTCACAGATATTGGTTTTTACAAATTGAAGGTTTGTGGCAACCCTGCATCAAACAAGCCTATCAGCACCATTTTTCCAACAGCATGTGCTCACCTTGTGTGTCTATGTCACATATTGGTCATTCTTGTGATATTCCAAACTTTATATCTTTTATGGTGATGTGATAAGTGATCTTTGATGTTACTATTGTAATTGTTTTCTGGTGCCATGAACCTCACCTATTTAAGACAGTGAACTTGATCAATAAATGTGATGTGTCTTCTGAGTGCTCCACCCACCAGCCATAAGTCCCTTGTCTGTCTTACTCTTCTTGGGCCTCCCTATTCCCTGAGACCAGTAATATTGAGATTAAGCCAGCGAATAACCTTACAGTGGCCTCTGATGGTTCAAGTGAAAGGAAGAGCCACGTCTCTCTCTTTAAATCAAAAGCTAGAAATTAAGTTTAGTGAGGAGGGCATGTCAAAGGCTGAGACAGGCCCAAAGCTAGGTCTCTTGTGCCAAGCACTTAGCCAAGGTGTGAATGCAAAGGAAGGGGGAAAATTTGAGTGATCTGGATAGAAGATCAAACCAGCCATAACATTCCTTCCAGCCAAAGTCTAATCCAGAGCAAGGTCCTAACTCCCTTCAATTTTGTGAAAGCTGAAAGAGGTGAGGAAGCTGCAGAAGAAAAGTTTGAAGTTAGCAGAGGTTGGTCCATGAAGTTAAAGGAAAGAAGTCATCTCCATAACATAAAAGTGCAAGTTGAAGCAGCAAGTGATCCAGAAGATGATCTAGCTCAGATAACTGATGAAAGTGGCTACACTAAACAACAGATTTTCAATGTAGACAAAACAGCCTTCTATTGGAAGAAAATGCTATCTGGAACTTTCATAGCTAGAGAGGAGAAATCAATGCCTGGCTTCAGAGGACAGGCTGACTTTCTTATTAGGGATTAATGCAGCTGGTGATTTAAGTTGAAACCAATGTTTATCCATGCCTCCAGATAGTTGATTCTTTAATGTTTTCAAAAGGAGTGTTGTTTGTTCAGAACAAGCACTTAAAAAGTTCAAGCCCTAGTTCTGCTTTCCTAGTGGCCTGAGATAGCCAAATGGTGATCACAGATGTTTTTATAGGAACTTGGTGGCATGGTTGTTTTTAGGGAAATTCCTGCAAATTTAGCGTGTTCATCTTTTAGGGGTTGTATGGAAATAGAAAATGGAAAATGAAAAGCTCCTATGGTCTTCTTTCAGGTTGCCTCTTAGGGTTAAAATGACCACATCATTTATGTTCTGAGAGCTGTGCTGAGAAGGTAACCAAAGTTTTCTTCTTTGCCTCCTCACCCCCCAACTTCCGTTAATTGTGGTCTGACTACCCCAGAGCTTCATCTGACTGTACTTTTTTTCTTTCTCTCTCATGAGACTAATTGGTCATGAGAAAATTACTTCATAATAAGAATTGGAGTGAGTGAAAAAATGATGTGGAAGTAGTTAATATTGGTCCAAAGTTTCCATCTGCTGGATTGCCCCCTGTCATTCATCCTGGGCCCAATGTGGTCGTTATTGCAGAAACATTGACTGGTAGTCTCTGTGCTTACCTCCTCCACCCCACTCATCACACACATACTAAGGGCACTGATTGCCTGATGCATATTAGACTATTTCTTTTTGAAATAGCTTATTTAACTCATAATGATGACTCAAGGATGCACACATGTTCATCACCCCAAATGAAGAAAATGTGGAAAATTTGAAGAAAATTAAGATTACCTATAGTACTATGTCACAGAGATTACCAAAATGAAGTGAGTGTTTGTGTGTATATGTGTGTTTTGGCTGGTTTATGCACTTCTATGCTTTTAAAAATATCTACATACATATATAAATGCTGACACTTTTGAAAAGTAGGATTTCAATACATCTATTTTGTACCTTTAAAAAAATCTAACAATATGTTATAGACATCTTAAAGTCAGAACAAACTTACAAATAGAGCTGCAATTAACATTTTTGTAACTATCTTTCTGACTGGCTGTATTTTTAAATTTGTAGTGTGAGTACACCAATATATGGTACCTAAACAGGTCTGGTAGGAAAAGTGGTACCCATCAAAATTATTTTTTGTTTGTTTGTTGGAGCCAGGGGAATAAGCTTCAGTTTCGTCAAAGCTAATAAGTTTGTAATATCAGCTGAAATAATAAAGAACAACCACATTTAAGGTATGCTTGGAGCTCTGAAACACCAGTGAAAGGAACATCCTTCCACCCTCTCTGAATATATATTCATTTATATATTGTATGCAAAACCATATATATATTATAAGATAAGATAAACATTTTAAGGGATTAGATAAGGATATTAAAATGAGTTGCCAAATGCAGCAACTTCATAATATGACTTCATAGTGTCATTAGCTAATATCTTAGGGTACTATATACTTAGAGCCATGCTCCTTATTTAGTAGTAGATTTAACCAATATTTTAAATAGTTTTATTGATAAATCCATTTTTCCCCCAACTTCCTAGATCAGATTTGCTTTTCATCTTTAACTCTTGGCCAGGAAAACTTATTAGAGTGTTCGTACTCCCATTTTCTTGATGTTAATTTAGGCTTACATTAGTTTTAAAATGAATCTAATTTTTTGCAAGAATCTTTCTGTACTTTGCCAATTTTGTCAGGTGTATTTTCACTAAAACTGGATAATCCACAGTGCTTAAATAGGTCCACAAAAGCCGTAAGTGGTGGGAATATACTGAAAGCCAGTGGGGGTGCCATCAGCCCCCAACTTTGGGGAACTTGCCCTGTTCCCCCAGGATGCCCCACATACCTAAGAGCATCTGACACTCTCACCAAGGGAGGGCAGCTTAGGTGTGATGGATAATAATCTGTGAATTAAATTTGGGGAAATCTCTCTTTTCTAGGTTGATGCATTTAGAGGCCCTGAACCTTTCTTCTCACATACCACTGAATGGTCTTGCATACCCACTGTGTCAAAGGACTCCACTTTGGAGACTACTGCAGTAGGGGAAAAAGACAAGTTCAGTCCTCTTGTCAGATACGATAAGGACCACGCAAGCCAAAGGCAATAGCAGTCTGGGCTCCTGTTAGTGTATTTGCTGACAAAGTATCATCACTGAAACTGGTGTGTGCATTTTTCTGGGGCAAAGATCAAGAGCCTTTGTCCTGTTCTCACAAGGATTTATGACCCCAATAAGGTTAAGAATCAGTGGTAGCTTGTTTTGTTTTTTTCAAAACTTCAGGCTTCCATAGACTCTTTTAGTTGTTGGTTTGATAAGGCTGAAATTGTCCTTAGTCATGTGATAGCCTCAAACTTAGCCAACATCACACAGTCCTGCTTATCTGAGAGAAGAGTAGGTTTTCTTAATTACTGACAGCTTTGATGTGCCTCCCTCCTATTTTCTTACATAGTACCAGTCTCAGGCTTCTTTTCTGTGTTCTTTTCCATTCCACTGTCTCTAGCTTTTATTTAGCCCACTGTCTGGGTAACTTTTCATTCTATTCTAGATCTTGTTTTGATGCCTTCAAATACTATGCTTTTTTTTTCTTTGATATTTTGGCCTTACTGTTGCTGTTTATTAAGCTTATAAAAACCAAGGTCATATATTTCCTATAGTTTAGTGAAACATAAATAATTCATAAGAGTCATGATCGCTCTTATTTATTTCATGCAATTTCAATTGCATGACTGCCGTGCAATGATGGGTTCATGTAATTTGGAAGATCTTCTGTTTTCTGTTCCTTAACTAGTTTTATGGTGTAGTCACTTTCACTTCCCCTGATTTGTGTTATCACAAGTTAGCAGCTCTCTGTGCTTTTGTGATGGAAGTTGCAGTATTTCTCCTGTTAGCTGACCTAATTCTTGCTTATGAAATTGTGATTGCAGCTTTCAAGTCTCCTCTACCAAACACCCAGCCCAGTGCTCAGCATCAGAAGGTGTTGACTAAGTGTGTGTCAAATAAAAGAATGTTTTAGTCCTATGATAGTGTCCTGTCTCTTTTGCTTTTTGTTTTTTCTGTCTTTTCACTTTGCACCATTTTTTTCATCATTTCATTTTGTTATAGCAATATGATGCCTAGTTTTATGTGTTTGTGTGTGCCTGTTGGATACCCTTTATCTACCAGGGCAAACCTACAAACTGGGAAGAGGGGGGGCAAGAAAGAGCACTCAGAAAAGTAAAGTTTAGAAAGCTTATACATTTACCATTTTCCTTGAGATATCAGAATTTTTGAACTAAAATTTTTGAACCAAAATATTATTACCTTTTCCTCACAAATGTAGATGTTATTTTTAGACTTAAGTTAGACTTATTTAAAAAACAACCCATCATGTACATTTATTATTCATATCCATTTTTTTAATATTTCTATCATTCTGTCATCAGTCAACCACATTTGACTAGTTCTATCCTGTATTTCCCCAACTGGCTCATGTACTCTCGAAGGAAACATTTATCATGCTAGTTATTTTCTATTTTCCATATCTTTCATATTGCTAAAAGTATTGCAACTGCTTTGTAAATACCCAAGTGAAACAATTCTGGAAAGATACAATAGTATAAATAACAAAACACAATGACTAAGCAATCCTGATATTTATTATTTGCTACTTTTGACCTTTTCTTTGCCTGGGACTTCTTAATAAAGTTCTTAGGGCAATGTTAACATCAGTTATCATTTCTTGAACACTTAGTGGCCATGTCACTAGTCAAAGGAACCAGTAGCCAGAAGAGTTATTTGAAGCCTCTTGAAGCTCTTGGGCTGTATCAGGCACTCTTTCTCTTTCCAGGGCTGTAGATGCATACTTCAACTATAGCTTTTAACACATTTTATCATACCTTTATCTATTCGTATCTCTCCCTTCCCCTGGACTAAACTCTTGGAAGGCAGGAAAATGTCTCCAACAGAGCTTGATTCACAAGGTTTTCTCTAAGTATTTGCCTGAATGCCCTGTGTTTTGCACACTGTTTTGGAGAAAACAACCTCTTCTTCCTTCAGTTCAGTATTTCTCACACAGAGGCTGCGTGTATGTGTGTGTGTGTGTATGTGTAGGTCAGTCGACCCCATGACCTTATTCTCAGGGGTCTAAGAATTCAATGCATACCTTTTCATATGCTCTTTTCATTTTATTAAGTGAAAAGCTATTGTGAATCTCCAGGAGAAATACTTTAGCAATACCCATCCTCGAAAGTGGTGGTGGTGAACTCTAAATTCAGCAGTGCTGAAACATGCCCACAGGGCTTCTTACAGGCATGTTCTTAGCTGTCTGAGAGTTCACGTTTGAGGGTGTTGCTCTCAGGCATGGTTAAGATGCCATCTCCTTGGAAATGCCGACCTCAACACACCCAGTCAGGTGCCCACATAGCACTTACCACGGTGTATGATACGGGCTTTCCCACCAGCTCTCTGAACCCCTCTCCCTCTACTTCTGTAATACTTTTTACACATATCTTACAAGCATTCACTGAGCTATTTTGTAAGATGTAGTGACAAGGCTATCTTTCCTGTTGGACACTGAGCACATGAAGTCCAGGGAACCTCGTCAGCTTTGTGTTCTGAGCACCCGGCACAAGGCTTGCTCAGCACCTAAGTGCTCATTATGTTGGTCAGATCAAATTAAAAGACTCAGGACAAACACATTTTTAAAGTCTTCACTTTCTTTTGAAATGAGAGTCATTGTGGTAATTGATTTTTCATTTCTAAAAGGTTTTTTTTATTGATTTTTCACAGTTTTTCATATAGATATTTTTACTATGTTGTTGTTTTTCAAAGGTGGTGTATATGAGGGGGAAAAACCCCGACAAACTGTGTTTTTTCCTGTGCTCTCACACCACAGCAACTATTAACACAGAAGACCTCTGTGACCAGACATGTAGGGATTTCTCCCCCACCCCCAACAAGCAATCAGTTCTGCAGTGGAGACCTCTTGAGTGTCCTCTAATTCAGTTCTATTCTGATACTGTCTACCTGGAGATAGTGTCAGATCCCACAGGTTGAGGGCTCAGTCCCCAAGATTGTCCCCTTCAGACACCAGTCACAAGTCCTGGCCTCTTCAACTTTTACCTGATTCATTCTCAAGACCCTCTCCTTGGGTTCAATTAATTTACTAGAGAAGCTCACAAAACTCAAGGAGACACGTTCACCAGTTTCTTATAAAGGATATTACAAAGGATACCGATGAAGAGATGCATAGGGTGAGGTATGGGGGGAGGGGCACGGAACTTTCATGCCTTCCGTGGACTGCTCTCCAGGAAGGTCATGTGTTCAGCTATCTGGAAGCTCTCTGAACCCTGTCCGCAGGCATTTTATGGAAACTTCACTGGATGGGCATGATTGACAGCCATGTAGAAATGTGATTGGACAAAAAGGGTATGATCTAATAGCCTGGGGAAACCCAGCAAGGCCTGTTTGTTCAGTTCTTTCTGACCAATCTGTGCAGTATTCCTTCCTCCAGGGTATGGAGCAGGACTCACAATTGAAGGGTCTTCTGACCCACAATCAGACATGGTAGGTGGGAGAATCCTTCAGGCCCAGCTCCAAGACAGGGAAGAGTCCTGTCTTAGGGAGAAAAAGAAGCAGGTGAAAGAGGGCAGGAGAAGGTCAGAGAGAGAAATTCTGTTTTCAGAGGACTTCTCCTGAAGCCTAAAGTGCCCGAATGTTATAACAAGGGTTTATGGGAGTTATGAGCCAAGAACTGTGGATGGAAACTGCTATGTGTATACAGTATAAAATCATAGACAGTGAGCATGGCTATTTTCTAATGCATCTAATTCCAGTATACTTAGTCCTTTTTCTCTTGTCTGTTTCTAAGTAGTCTGTTTCATGTTACTTGGTTTCCTCATGTGTTTAGTTATATTTAACTACTGGCTAGTCACTGTGATTTACAAGTTATTTGTTAGAGTGTCCTAAATCCTAGGATGAACCTCTGGCGAGGTCTGTGTGTGTGTTCTGGGACACGAAGGGCAATTCCAGTCTGGGACCCTAGACCCATGCAAGCTGACAGTTTGAAGTTCCCTGGCTCACCCAGGTGTGAGGCTCAAAGGTTTGAGCCTCGTTTGCTAATGGCCTGGTTAATGGCTACTATTTCTAAGGATGGGTCTTTTGTTTTAATTTTCTTTTTCTTTTCTTTGATTTGGAACCACTCTAGCCTTCTCTGTAGTCCTATAAGTTTGGGGACAGGCAGTTTCGATGCTGCTTGTTTTCCTGAGAGGATAGACTAATGGGACACCCATCTGGATATGAGGTTCGGCTTAGTGTCTATATTCGTCTGATCTTCTGTGTTAGCTCCAGTCTCTGGCAAGCTTTCCTGTGGTGGTGAGATGCATTTTAGGAACTTGAGACTCAGTCTCTGATCTCCAAACTTTGTTGATTATGTATCCAACAGTAAACTTCAGCATAACATCCCCAATGTGTATATATTTCTTTATCAATGATATGCTACTATATACTACTCTTGTATGGGTTATATAATATGTTACATTGTTATATATAGTCTCATGTTATTATATTATCTGCATACATATATTCTATCTTATATTCATTATTAGTAGAATTCAATTGCTTAGTTTTTTTAAGTTTTTAAAAAAAATTTTTTAATTTTAAAATATTAAGGGGGTACAAATGATTTTGTTATATGGATAGCTTTTATAATTCTTAAGTCAGGGCTATTAATGTACCCATCACCTGACTAGTGTTCATTGTACCTGTTAGATGGGCAGTTTTTTAGTTTTTAAGATAGACAATAAAATAGAAATACTAATATATGTTATACTCCTAGTAGATTGTTTTACACATCCCACCTTGGGGACTATCCACTAGAGAGCCTACATTTCTCCATACAGTTAAAATAACAGTCCTGGGACCACATCTTATTGGTTCTTTTTGGTCTAGCTTAAGTTGTGTGCCCATTCCTGGGTCCAGAGTCCTTGAAATAGTAAAAGCAAAATTTTACTAACATAAGTAGCAAATAGCTGAGTAGGCATAAATAGAGAGTTGCTCTTTGAACTTTTTAAAGCTATTTATATTCTGGAACCTTATAATCACTGATATTTTTTCCAAAAAAGGGGGACATAATCCTTCTCTCAGTCCAGAGTTACAGAACAAAGATTTTCTACTTTGATAACAATCTAATTTCATTAGTCTATACTAAATTTCTGTAATTTCATACTTGGAGTAACATGAAAGTGTCCTATCTGGTTTTTGTTCATATGTACACTCACATGCAACTTAGCCTACATAAGCACAGCTTACACATACTCACACAAACACAAGCATACACACTTTTTTGAAATACTTTAGTTATAGATGAATGCCTTATGTTAAGATGCAGGAATGGATGAGTCTTGCAAGTAAATTCTATTTTTTAATCCTCAAGAATGGCTATTTTGAACAAGAAGGGTGTCTGTATGGAAAGGCAAGTGATAGAGGGTGCAGAATAATCTTCGGGTTTCTAAAGAGAAAAGGAGTTCACTGGTTGGAGAGAGAGGTGTTTTTTGTTTTGTTTTGTTTTGTTTTTGTATGAATAGCTAAAAGCACGTGAACGGAAGGTATTTTTCAGGAGTTTTCTGAGGAACAGGTTGTTCTGGGTATTTAAAAATTGATCTTCTGTGGCAGAAATGCAATGGTGCCTCTTGATTCTGAGGTGAAAGAAGAATGTCTCAGGGAAGACCTGAAGTTTTACTTCATGAACCCTTGTGAAAAATACCGAGCCAGACACCAGATTCCATGGAAACTGGGTTTGCAGATTTTGAAGATAGTCATGGTCACCGCACAGGTAATGTAGATTACCATCTTATTCAGTTTTTTCCTTATTCCAAGATGAAACTGTTCTCATATATTCTTTCTTTGTTTTTTGTGTTTGTCTGTTTTGTTGTTGTTGTTGTTGTCGTCGTCGTTTGAAACAGAGTCTCACTCTGTTGCCCAGGCTACAGGGCAGTGGCATCATCATAGCTCACAGCAACCTCAAACTTCTGGGCTCAAGTAATTCTCCTGCCTTAGCCTCCCAAGTAGCTGGGACTATCGGTATGCACCACCATGCCTGGTTAATTTTTCTATTTTTAGTAGAGACGGGGTCTTGCTCTTGCTCAGGCTGGTCTCAAACCCCTGAGCTCAAGCAATCTTCCTGCCTTGGCCTCCCAGAGTGCTAGGATTACAGGCCTGAGCCACTGAGCCCGGCCTGTTTTCATGTATTCTGTACTTTCGTTCTGAAAAGTCCACATTCGAGTTCATAAAACTATAAAATTATGTTGACTCTAAAGGGCAGATGATAAGTTGAAGTTCAATTTAGAAGATGATCTTGTTTTACTAAGATATCATGAGGTCATCTTTCTACAGGTTTTGTAAATACTAGATAAATGTAGACCTGTATTGAGGGGGGTTTCTGTATCTGAGTGAGGCACATAGGCTGGCCAAGGCTGAAAATCCAAAGTGATTTGTGTTCTTGTAATCTCTCCTCTTTATTTAAAAACACTTTACTCAAATATACTTTGAAATCACATTTTTTTTTTGTCTTCAGACTTATAGAGTGCTAATTTTTCTTTTATTAGTAGCAACATGCCGTAAGTACTAACCCCCTAGGCACTATTGGGAGTGTATTAATACAAAACTACCTTTGGAAATTTCATTTAAGTTCACATTGTTGAGTATTCTCTCACCAGTATCGAAACAGTCATCAGAGTTCTCATCTAGTTTTTGGGCTTGTGGTATTGAACCAGTTTTAAGGAGGCTCCTCTGTAGGTAACTACATTTGAAACTTGTGCCCTTTTAAACTGATTAGGACATTTGGCTTTTTTGGCAAATAATCATTCAGTTATCAGTGTAGAAGTGTGTAAAGATCTTATTTATGGAACATAAAAATAAATACTTTTTAAAAAACACCTCCATATAGTTCTAGAAATGAGAGGAGGTTCCTGCCCAAACTGAAGTTGCTCCTTTATTCTCTAAGGAGGGCTTTTGATTGCATGATGTGCTATGTTTACCAGCTCATTAAGTTTTAGTGAAAGACTTCAAAAGAAACAACAAGGTTGAGATACAGGAACACAGTTAAATGTATATGCTTATTAGTAGTTTTTTTCATTCTTGGATTTGAAGTTTTAAAGCTGGCAACCAAAAAAATAGGTGCACATGCTTAGAAGAGCCTGTAACCTTCTGTTGTTTCATTTTCAGCACAGGTTGCATGATGTGACTCTTCTTACCTAATGCTTTCCTTAGAATATCTGGATTTTAGCAGTCAGTTATTTGACTTGGTATTTGAGGAATGTGACATGGTTAGAGTGCAGTGCTAGAGTGTTATCTATGTAGATTCTCAAACTGTAGGTGCCTTTCATAATTCGAAAAAGCTAGCACTTAGACTATTTTTTATAAGAAGTGTCTCAGAGGCCGGCGTGGTGGCTCATGCCTGTAATCCTAGCACTCTGGGAGGCCGAGGCGGATGGATTGCTCAAGGTCAGGAGTTCGAAACCAGCCTGAGTGAGACCCCGTCTCTACTAAAAATAGAAACTAATTGACCAACTAAAATATATATACAAAAAAAATTAGCCGGGCATGGTGGTGCATGCCTGTAGTCCCAGCTATTCAGGAGGCTGAGGCAGTAGGATCACTTGAGCCCAGGAGATTGAGGTTGCTGTGAGCTAGGCTGACGCCATTGCGCTCACTCTAGCTTGGGCAACAAAGTGAGACTCTGCCTCAAAAAAAAAAAAAAAAAAAAGAAAATAAAAGAAGTGTCTCAGAGACAGCTTTTTCAGCAGAAGGAAATTGTGTAGTATAATAAGGATGATTTTGGAGTTAGGCTTGTCTTTCGTTCTAGTTAGGTGACTTGGCCAATTTAGTGGGGCTAAAGTTCAGTTTCCATGTATGTAAAATGGGGATAACAGTAGTAACATTATCATAGGGTGGTTGTGGGATAAATGAGATAATGTATGTAAAGCAGTTAGTACAGTGCTTGGCATATAGTTGCTGAAAAATGGTGGCTGTTATTTTAAATTATTTAGTCTTTAAAAATTCAGACAAAATGTAAAAGCTAAAAAATATAAACCACTTAAAACCCTTATGCCAGTTTGCATATGCAAATTAACAGTTTTATCAGAATTGCTTATAATTGACATTTTGTATATTATTGTTCCAAGGTATCATGTTGAACCTTGGAATGACAACAAATGACAGAACTGTCTAGGTGATGTAGTTAAACTTGGTAATTTCACACATGAAGAAACAGTCCCAAAATGCTTTGGTGACTTAGTTGAGTGAGGACTTGGGGAAACTTTCCAGAGTCTCATTGTTTTATAAGGCAGCTGAGGAGATCACGTGGGGAGGTGGGGAAAGGTATGTGAGGCTTACAGGGTTTTGACTTCACCACTACCACTGCCTGTGTGTATACGTGAGAGAGACAAGAGAGGGAAGATGAGAATGAGAGAGTGCGCGTGTGAGAAAGTGGGTGTGTGGAGAGTAAGAGACGGAGAGTGTGTAACTGTAGTTTCCTATATTTTTTGTGAACTTTTGGTGTTGACTAGTTTCCCCATTTATTGAGTTCCAAGAAGAAAACTTTCACTCCTGGTGAGAGTGAAAGAGAGCCCTTGGGTACCTAACCTTGTGCCAGAATACAGTGTAAGGGAGAATAAGTAGGTGTTTTATCAGGAACAGATGGGTGCTTGGTGACAACGAATGAGCTTGACATCTTACAGGTAAAGCAAGCCCCGTTATTCTTTCAAGTGCTTTGATACTATAGATCTCGGTGGGAGAAATTCTTAGGTGTAAATCTTATATAAGAATTCTTGCAGAGCTGGATTAATTGAATTCTTTAGAGAATTATTACCTCTTAGCTGGAGTAAGTATTTGTGGAGGCCATTTTTCAAAAACATCTTTAAAAGCCACATGCAAAACAGAGTGTGATTTTAAAAACATATGTATAATTTCCAAGTATTAAATCAATAAAACATGAGTTATTGCTTCATATACTAAGTAATCAATTTTGAAAACAATTTGAAATCCAAGTACAAGAAAAATGGATTCAGATTTAACTAACTTGGATTTTTTTCTTTCTTAATTAAAGGCCAGTAGGGTCCTTAGTCATTGGAAGTGATAATCTCTTTCAGCTTTATATTACTTTGAATTGCTGATATAGCTTAATGAGGCTATTCATTGGGACTTGTATTTTGACATGGATGCTATTAATATACACCAAAAAATTCATGTTTTTCTTCTGCTGTTTATAGGTGAGGGTTGATGATAATAAGAAGTCATTTGCTTCCCTTCATAAATGGTAAAGTTTATGTATTCCTATTTGATTTTCTTTTCTAGCTTGTTCGTTTTGGTTTAAGTAACCAGCTGGTGGTTGGTTTCAAAGAAGATAACACAGTTGCTTTTAAGCACTTGTTTTTAAAAGGATATTCAGGTATAGATGAAGATGACTACAGCTGCAGTGTGTATACTCAAGAGGACACCTATGAGAGCATCTTTTTTGCTATTAATCAGGTAAGTGTTCTGTTGTTTCAAATGACCTGTACTTTAAGAACATATTGATACTTGGCCTTCTCTTAGGAAACAAAAAAATTATACATATATTAAAATATTCTAATGTAAATTTTGCATAATCTGCCAAAAATGTTTATTGTAACTTCCAAAGCTACATTTCCACACAGTAGAGTTTGCCTATTTTGAATTTTTCTTTAAGATTTATATTATTTATTTATCTCTTTAGATCAAATAGCTAAGAGTAGATTTGTCATCTTAGGAAATTTGATGAAGATTTGATACCAAATCTAAGATTCTGCAGTCTCAATTTTGATGCCTTATCATTAATAACCCTAGCTTAACCTTAAGAATATGGAATATGATATAGTTATATCTAAATAGGTATGAGAGAATGGATTGGTAGACTTGAAGAAAGAATTGAGGGGAGAGAAGCTGTTTCTGTTCTTTTTCATTCATTCAATAAATATTCAAGTACCTAGTATGCAGCAGGTGCTATTCTAGACATTGGGGATATAGCAGTGAATAAAACAGATAAAAACCCTGCCCTTATAGAGCTTAATTCTAGAGGGGAGAGATAAACAAATAAAAAGAAGTAAAATATATCAAATGCTGGCTCCACCCCAAAAAATGTGTTGATGAACAAAACTGAGCTTATTGCTTACAGTGGTAGGGAGATGCTATCTTGATCAGTCTCAGTGGCACCTTGGGTAGGGAGGGAGTTCTTCAATGTAGAGGGAGCTTGAGTAGAATTAGGTAAGGATCAGGATATAATAGTTCAGGATTGGTTGACACCAAGGTGAGGGTGGTGGGGCAGCTTCAAAAAGTCTAGAGTTGTTATCAGAGTAAACCTTCAAACTGGTGTCTTCAAATGAGTTTTTTTAATGTTCCTGAAATAAACAGTACAGTTATTTGCAACTTCTTTTCCCCAGGGCAAAAGTTTCCTGGGATAGTAAAGCCATATTAATGAAGATGGGGGCTAGTAAAGCCCTGTTAGTGCAGATAGCCAAATAGTAAAGTGGTGTTAATGTCAGCTAATGTAAGGTAATGTAAGTTAATGTTAGTTGTGTTGATGCAAGCTTGGAGTGTGCGTGGCTTGGGTCTGTGGTGGTGGTATGTCTGAAAAGAATAACTGCTAAGGAATAAAGCAGGGAAGGAGATGGGGAGTGCCTGGGTGTGGTGATAGAGTTTGCAGTTTTATTTTTTATTTTGAATTGACAAATAGTAATTGTATATATTATACATTTATGGGGTACAATGGATAGCTTTGATATATGTTTGCAATTTTCATTGGTAAGGGAAGGCTCCATTGAGGTGGTGATATTGAATTGAGATTCAAAGGAGTAAACCAAGCGTGGATACCTGGGGTTCCAGGCAAAGGGAGCAGCAAAAGCCAGAGGCTGAAGTTTGCCTGGCAAGCTCCAGGAACTGCCTGTAGGCCAGTGTGGCTTTGTGGGGTAGAGCCAAGGGGCAGCAGTAGGGATGAGGTCATAGAGATAAGGCCTTGGCTTTGGCTCTCAGTGAGATGCAGCCCTCTGTAAGCATGTTTACTTTAGTTTTGAGTTCTGTGATGCAGTGCGTTCCTGCACAACATGAGAAAATTTCTTTATTATAACTTCAGTGGGGAAGTTCTATTGAGGGGCATGATGTAAGCAATAAACAGTAGCTATTATAAAAGTGCATTCCATGTGCAATAACTTCTGATCAAACTTCTAAAAGTTGTATGTGTTTTTATTTAACTATTTTTAATAGTATCATCGTCTAAAGGACATTACCCTGGGGACCCTTGGTTATGGAGAAAATGAAGACAATAGAATTGGCTTAAAAGTCTGTAAGCAGCATTACAAGAAAGAGGCCACGTTTCCTTCTAATGAGACACTGAATATTGACAGCGACATTGAGATAGGTAAAGCAAGGATAATTTCATTATATGTCTTTATCATCATCTGTAGCAAGAGTAAACATGCCCTCAGGTGCTGGCAACCCAAATGGAACAACTTTGCTTTTGTGAGAGCTCTTACTATTAGAGATGGTCACTTTAACATTTGCCTGCAGAGACCTTTGGCTCAAGAAACTGCTGTGGCTTTGGTGATGGGACAGGGACAGCATTTATGGATCTTTTTAGTGCAATTCAAAATTGCTGGTTTGGGGATAATGCACAGGTATTTCCTGTTGTTTATGTTTTGTCCCTCCATGAGGGGATGATTAGGCTTTTTGAAAGAAGGGTCTATATGTATTAAATGAAATGATATATGGAAAAATGCTTTGTACATTTGTTGTTATTATTTGTATGTAAATGCTTTTCAAAAGTACATTATGATGAATAACTCATTTTCTCTTTTACGAGATTGCTTGGCAAAAAGTTAATAGCTAATCAAGTAGAATTGTGCCATTTTGCTAAGAATTTAAAAGCACACCATATGTAAATACAAAGTGTTTGACTTAAGACTTTGGGGGTTTTGTTATTCACTCAACAAACCTCTGGTATATAGCCACCAGATCAGGGCACTCAGTTTTATGTACTAGGGTTGCAAAGATTAATCAGCGGTGGCTCCTCAAGTACCTAACATTTCAGGAGTAGAGGTCCTAATAGCAGTTTAAAGTTGAAATGGTTTTATTAAAATGAGAGCATCACATTTTACCGTGTTTTACCATATTTCCTATAATCCGTGTTTTACCATATTTCCTATAATCTGATCTTAAGGTGCCTTGGTGACACAAAAAGAGAACACCTCTATAAGAGAGGTTTTAATTCTGTTTCTACAGGCTGCTTGCTCAGAATCTTTTTATGAATATATGTGTTGTGTGCTCTAGACTCTGAAAGAAGGCAGCCGGTCAGCCAGCACCATCAGGGCCCTTGTGTCTGGCTCCCAGGCCCCTTTCGGAGACCATTTAGAGGACAGTTGCTTCGTTTTGTAGCCAGCAACATTGAAATGCTCTTTGTCTTATTGCCCTGGTGGCTTCTGCTAACCTGAGATCTGTTTGGTAGTCTATCTACAGAGGCTAATCATGGTTTACTGTTAATCTTTTACCTCAACTGTGTTCCTCCCAGTGGGTGATTTCCTGGAGGACTTGATAGGTGGGGCTGAAAGCTTGTCCCTTCACCCTGTGTTTCAAGGAAGCCATCTGTCACTTGCCCTTTTAAAAATGGGCAACTCAAACTGTATGCACCATATGGCTGTTTCCCAGTGATTCAGATGCTATTTTTTCTCAATTGGTTTTTCTTGGAAAAATTGATTAGAGAAATGTGGCCAAAGTCAGTATCAGTAGTAGGACGGGCGGTGGTGGAAAGCAGGATTTATTCCCAGACCATTGGACAGTGGTGCCCTGGTTCATTTCCTTTCAATCAGAATATGAACAGAGGTTGATTATTAATTTGACTTTATTTTAAGAGAGTTTGCTTAAGCAGGTAAATTATATTCTTTGACTTATTACATATGACTTGTCAAAGGGAGTGTTTTGATGTATCTATTCAAAATGTGTAAAAAAGATTTTAAAAATACTTGATATTGTATTTTAGCCCCACTTTTCTTGAACACATTGGAGGAAGCCTGTAGATGATATAAATAGGAATTGAGTTTTACTTCATTAGTTTGGCATTATAATTTAAGTAGGTAAACTAGCAGAAGCTGTTCTAGATTAACTACCCGTGAATTTTGCATTATCTTTACTGTTAAAAGAATCATCCCTTCATTGTGCTAAATGCAAAGATCTGCCTTTATGCGCAGCTTTCCCTGTGGGTTTATATTTAGTTGCACAACTGACTGTGTAAATCAAGGCCAGCATTTTTCTTAATTGGTGCTAGTGGACATATCCCTCCTGGATTGGCCTTTAGAATGGTAGCTTTCCAAGTCAGCCTTATTGGGGCGACTGTTACGAATCCTGTTTTTAAAAAAAATTTTTATAACATTTGGGTGGCTATTATTCTAATATAGCATTTCATTTTCTGTAATACGGTTTTTGAGTTTCTTATGTTCTTCTCTGCACATGTTCTTAGCATGAGATGTTCTGACCATGTCATCATTTTTATTGCTATCGAAGACCATGTCTAATCCACCCCCCTAAGAGGGTTGTTATTTCATTAGCTGAAGTATTCTGCTCTGTAAGCAAGATTCATTTGAGTGATGAGGCTGTTATATAGATATCAGTTTGTTCTGCTTTAAGTTTGATGTTTTACTCAGGGCTTTTGCTATTCTTTTACAGAAATCTCAGTTTTGCTGCCACCAGGTACTGGGCAGCCTCAGTAGCAATGACTATCGTGTAATAAGGTCAGCCAGACGTCAGAGAGTTCTGCATGTGCATTTAGATAAAGTGTAACTCTATACTTATGAACAAAGTCATACAAAATTTGAACAACAAAACAGACTTTTATAAGGCGAACTTTACAAATAGGGTAAAATTAACTAATAAAATTCTGTCATATTTCTCAGAATCTAAGATGCCATAAATTTTTTCTAAAGACCCATCTGCTTTAGAGATGTTTAAAAGTGAAAAGAGTTCCGTCTTGGAGTGAATGAAATACAGGAGAAAACAACCTAGGACAGTGTCTGGTGCATAGATCTTGAACGTGTTACTTCTTTAAGAATATAGCTGTTAACTCAGATCAGTTTAATTTTTCTTTTTATTTCACCTTAGAATAAGAATGTTAGAAGGACTTTAAATATCACCAGTTTGGCCTTCATTTTATAGTTGAAGAATCGAATGCTCAGTTAAGGTAGGCAACTATGCCAATGTCACGTACTGACCCTGTTAGGTTAGTGATGGTAGGTAGGTCTTTTCTCTCAGAGACCAACAGCATGGACATTACCTGGGAGCTTATGGGAAATGCAGCATCTCAGGCTAGAGCTACTGAATCCAAATGTGCATCTTAACAAGATCCCAAAGTGATTCATGCACATTGAATTTTTGAAGCACTGTGTCCCTGCACTCCAACCAAAGTCCCTTCACTTCACATAGACATTTTTTTTTTTAACTGGCTTCATCACATTTTCCACTGTCCATCATCACCTCCTGCCTTCAGTGCCTTCTATATCCAGCTTAGGTATACCCTTTTCCATCAGTATCCCTCCCTCACAAAAGCTGCCATGGCGCTTGCCACTCCTTTCTTACCTGGACCCTCTCAAGGGCCATTGGTCCCCAGCCTCTTCCATCCCTGTGCCCCAGCAGCTGATGCTCACAGGACAAGTGTGCCAGGGTACAACACCCTCATCTTCTGGCCACCATATCTTCAGTGCTCTTTGCATAGCTTCTCTCCACTTCTTTCACCCATGTGTTACAAAGGATTGCAGAGGCGAGGCCACAGTTAAAAGCCTCACCTGAGCAGCAGAGCCCACACTCACCTCTTTCAGCTTCTGAGACATCATTCATGCCCTTTCTCTCTGGAACCCAAATTTACACCTCTAACCTGAATTTCTCCCCTGAGCTCCACACTCCTCATATGTTCAACTGGCTACTTGACAACTCTGTCATGTTGCCTAATAGAGATTTCAAACCTGCTGTGTCCCAAACAGATCATTTCAAACCTCCACCATCTCTCTGCCTACCCCTGGCTCAACCACAGTCTAAGCCACTATGTGCTTAGATGGTCTCCTTGCTTCTGGTCTTGCCTCCACATCCCCTGCCCTGCCCTGCCCCGCCCCGTAGTGACCAGAGTGGTAAATCAGGCCATGTCACTTCCTGGCTTAAAAACCATTGGTGGCTTCTCATTCCATGTAGAATAAAATCTGCAAGACCCTATAGGAGCTGGCCACTTACCTGCCTCCTAAGCCCCTCACGCCCTTGTCCTCATTTCTCTGTTGTAGTATCATCTTTTCTGTTTGTTGAGCAAACCTGGCTCGCTCTTGCTTGGAGGCCTTAGTGCTGGTGTTTTTTCCTACCAGGAATAGTAGCCCTCTGGACCTATGCATAGCTGATTCTTTTTCCTTTAGGAAAACAGTTTCAGTTCCAACATATTAGCACCTTGAGAGTCATTCCCTGACCTCCCTTCCTAAGGTGAGGCTATCCTACCTAGTTATTCTCAGTCACTGTTCTGTGTCTTAACAGTACTTTTCACATGGTGAAATTACCTGGTATATATATTTTTTCACTTGTTTATCTCCCCCTCTAGAATGTGAGCTCCAGGAAGGCAGTGGCCACAGCTGTCTTGTTCATTGTTTTATCTTCAGTGCCTAGCGCAGCGCCTGACTTTCAGCAAATATTGACTGAATAAATGAATGAGTTGGGTAGGGAGCCCGGGTCCCTGATGTTCTCAGAGGTCAGCCTCATCAGTGTGCTGGTGGAGCTCAGGCTCTGGATCTGAGCAAAGGTGTATTTAAATGTTGGATAACCAGCTAGCTCTGTGACCTTGAGGACGTTTCTTGACTTCTCTGTGCCTTGGTTTGTTCTTCTGTGGAAGGGCAGCAGTGGTTTCTGTCTCACAGGTTGCTTTGAGGATTTCACAGGACTATCCATTCATTGAGAGAACATATAAATCCCTAGCATAGTGCCCAGTATGGAGTCAGTACCCAGTATGTTTTTGCTATTTTTATCATCATCAGCCTTTTCTTGCCTGAAAACAAGTTTCTTTTGGATTAACTGCCCTCATTGTATTAAGATCTAGTCAGGAAAACCAACATTAGATTGTTTCTTGACACTAATACTTTATTTGGCAAACACACTTTCTAAAATCTACCTTTCTTAAATATTATGCTTGTTGAGTTCTCTCTTCAGTTCTGTGTCCCTGTTTTTGGATCAGGTTGTCTAATTGTCATTAAACATAAGTGTGCCTCACACCTATTTTGAGTGCCAGCTCTATGGTGGGCAGTGAGTGTTTAACAAGGTACAACATAGCTGTGTTCTTTTTCTCAAAGACCTTAAACTCTAGTTGAAGGGATCAACAAGCAAGTTAAGAGTTGCAATTGTGAGATAACACTCTTAAATAATTAGTCATTAAGTTTACCAAGATTCTTGAGCACCTACTGGGTGCCAGGCACTGCATTAGGCCCTGCCTTTCCCATTTCCAAGGCAGCACAGAGGGGCGGTGGCCACCTGGGGAAGGGGCAGCCGTGCTGGTTTCACACCTGTTCTGTCTCTAGGTCTCTGTGACTTTGAAAGGTGCTCCTCACTAAGCCTCCCGGTTTCCTGCCCTGTAAAGCAAGGGTGTTAGACTACACAATAATGAAGCTAATTTACATGTGAGTCTCTTGGAATCGATCATTCTTCTATAGTTTATGGCTCATAATTTGTTTTTACTTGAATACAACCTGAGCTCCTTTCCTTTCTCTTTATTTTTATTTTGAAAAAGTATCAGACTTAAAAGTTATAAAATAACACAAAGAATTTCTCTATACCCTTCATCCAGATTTCCCAAATACTAACATTTTATCACATTTGCTTTATCATTTTTTGTATGTATAAATATTTCTCCTAAAGTTGAAGACATGCTGTTTATTTACCTCCAAATACTTCAGTGTGCATTTCCCCCAAACAAGAGCATTCTCCTACATAACCACTGTACAGTGCTCAAGATGATGAATTAACATTGATGCAGTACTGTGATCTACAAACCCTATTCATCAGTTGTCTTAATGTTCTTTATAGCAAAATAAACACAGCCGTCCCTTCCAGGACCCTATCTAGGATCCCATCTGGCATTTAGTTGTCATGTCTCTTCAGTCTCTTTTAATCTGTAGCAAGATAAAATTCCTTGGTTTTGTTTGTTTGTTTAACTTTTGTGATCTTGACATTTTAAAAGAGTACAACGAATGTCCCTCACATTGGGCTTTTCTGTTTCTTCATGACTAGATTGAGGTTGTGCATTTTTGGCAGGAATACCACCCAAGTGGTACGTTACATTGTATCAGAGGTGCGTGATGTCTGTTTATCCCATTACTGGCGATGTTAACTTTGATCGCTTGGTTAGTGTGGCCTCTGCCAGGTTCCACTGTAAGGTTACTATTAGTCTTCCTGTGTAGTTAGTAAGCATTTTCTGGGGAGATATTAATGCTTTGAAACTTTCCAAGTATCCCGCTTCTTCTGACACTTTTGCCCACGAGTTTTAACATCTGATTCTTGCCTGAAACAACCATTTCTTGTTCTTTCATTGCCCTAGATTGTGTTCACTTAGACCTTGAGGCTTTCTCCAGGAACCCTCAGGACTGGAAGAACTCATCATTCTTCAGACTGGAATTTTATCGGTAAATACATTGTTAAGTCTCATTTCCCAGGAAATGGGGGTAGGGGAAGGAGAGTAGTATAGTAACCTTGTGACAATTTATACCTTTTAATATATTTTATCCAGGCTCTTAAAAGTTGAAATCTCCTTTCAACTCAAGGGCATTGACCTACAAACGATTCATTACCGTGAGTTACCAGACTGTTACGTCTTTCAGAATACGGCAAGTGTTTTTATTTTACTAAGCCACTTTATCTTATTTTTTTCCTGCACCTTTTATAGATGCAGAGTATAAAACACACCAGCCTATAGATGAATTAGATGCAGTTGTGTTTCAAACAGATCTACTGATCTGTTATGGTATTGTTGATCCAGAGACCATTACTTCTGAAAATGAAGCAAACCCTTTTCAACTTTTAAAAACTAGATTTCTGAGTTAAAAGAAGAATCTTAAAAATTGGCTTTGACCTATTCTCCTTACATGTTAAAAAAAAAAAGTTCATGGCAAGTATTTTAAGTATCTATGGTGTTATTATCAGCTTCAAAGGAAGGTCTTTGCAAATATTGTAGCAAATGTTTCAAATCTTGAGGCAAAAACTGCCCACTTGATCTGAAGGCCAGTCTACAAAGGCGCAGTTGTTTTTCCTTTTATTTTGAGCGGGGTCATGTGTAGTAGAAGAGACTATTCACTTTTGTGGGAAGAGTAAGCTGCCTTCTCACTTTCTTGGACATTCTCTCTCCTTCTATCTGTCTTTTCTGTTCTTTCTGTCCTCTTTGTGCTGCTTTTCTTCCTTCTATCCCCTCCTTTCCTGCTTAAAGGGCTAAACTGGGATGCTTAGCTGAAAGTTGTATTTGTATACACTGTCTTTTAGCAATTCACAAGAGTGCTTTGTTTAACAACAAGCAATAAATACTTAATGAGTCCCTACTATGCACCGAGCATTTTGCTATGCCCTAGAGATACAGTGGGTCTCAGGAAGCTTCAGTCTAGTGGAGGAAACAGACAGGAAAACAACTAAATGAGATAAAAGTAACTACAGGTTGTGATACATAGTAAGGAAGAATGTCTTCAGCTGAGAAGAGCATGGTTAATCTCCCTGGGGTGGGTGGGCCAGAGGAGCCCTGGGAGTATCTGGAGGGATGAGGAGAGAGGCAGGAGAAGAGCTGGAGGAGTAGGGTCTGCAAGGATGAGGTCATTGATGACTTTGTCGTGATATGGTCAGCAGCATGGGTCAAAAAATATTGGCTCTTCATTTTTGTTTTGTTCTTTGGACTTATTAATATATCTGCTTAAGGTTTCCAAAGCTTGAGAAAGGCCCTCCTGGGGAAAACAGACCTAGAATGCCAGTGTTAGTAGAGATTTAGTCAAAGCTTATAGATATAGAAATGAGGGTGGTGTGGTTTAATTTTTGAACCTATGGTTTGGTTGTAGTGATGTTCTTAGATTACACAGAACTTGGTTTATGTTCAGAGACACGCAGATGCATGTGGGCTTGATCACCTGCACATTCAGCTCTGCAAGCTTTTTGCCTGTGAACTTTTTGGATTTCTTAATCTCCAAAACCCTATGGAATATTTGGCATATATTGTTTAAAAACTTTAAATGATTGATTTAAATTCCAAAATGTGGAAGATTGAGGGTCATTTGGACATCTTAAGTTCAGCTTGCAGCCTTGGAGCAATCTTTGTTGTTTCTGAAACCACTATGTAGCTCTTGAAGCAAACATAAAAATAATTTTCAGCCTAGTAAAAACCCAGAATTTCATACCTAAAGGACTAAATTGAAGGAAATGCTTTTAAATTCCATTCAGCATAATAAATAAGATCATTGTGTACTCTTGTCAAAGACTGGTGAATTCTGGTTTTTGTTCCCAGGAGTGGTTGGCTGTTTTGCTCTAGGATTTCTCTGAACCAGAAATTTGAAATCCTGGATTTGGTGAGATTCATATATTCCCCCTTTAGATTATATTTTTTCATTAATAACAGAAAGTTTAAAGAAATCCTGTGATGAGAACATTTTCATCAGTATAATTTTCCTTGTTGTCCTAATTTATCTTTATCTATTGTGTGTTCCTTAGCCACTAATTATAGCTATTGTCATTTTTGACAATTTTGATTTTAGACCTTCATAGTAGAGGATTGAAAGATTTATATAATGCCATTCATCCATTCTCCTCTGGCCTGCAAGATTTCTGCTGAGAAATCTGCTGACAGTCTAGTGGAGATTCCCTTATATGTGACTTAATGCTTTTCTATTGCAGCTTTTAGAATTCTGTTCTTAATTTTTGAGGATATTTTTGGGATGAATCTAACTTGGGATCTTTGTGCTTCCTGGATCTGGATGCAATGCCCATATCTCTCCTAAGACTTGGGAAGTTTTCAGTTATTATTTTTTAAAATAGGTTTTTGTGCCTTTCTCCATCTCTTTTCCCTCTAGAACTCCTATGATGCAAAAATTGTTCACTTAATGGTGTCCCATAAGTCTCATAGGCCTTTTGCATTCTTTTTTATTCTTATTTTCTGTCTTTCCCCTGACTGGGTTGTTTCAAAAGACCTGTCTTCAAGTTCAGAAATTCTTTCTTCTGCTTGATCTAGTCTATTGTTAAAAGCTCTCATTTGTATTTTTTATTTTATTCATTGAATTTTTTATCTCTAAGATTTATGCTTGGTTTTTTTGCATACTGTCTCTTTATTGAATTTCTCATTCAGATCATAAATTGCTTTCCTGATTTCACTGAATTGTTTGTATTCTCTTGTATCTTGCTGAATTTTCTTAAGATTGTTATTTTGAATTCTTTTCAGCTAGTTTGTAAATATCCTTTTCTTTGGGGTCTGTTACTTGAGAATTACTGTGTTCCTATTGAGGGTATCATATGTACTTGTTTTTTCATGTTTCTTCTGTCCCTACATTGATATCTATGCATCTGGTGGAACAGTTGCTTTTTCTAATTGTATGGAGTAGCTTTCATAGGAAGGGACTTTTTCCTATAGAGGGGTCCTAGGGTGTCAGTTGGGTGTAGTACATTGGCTTTGGTTCTGGGTGGTCTCTATCCAGTTTTTTCAGTTGTAATCCCTGTCAGCAATGACCATGGTTGCCATCATGGCCTAGGCTGTGGGAGTTTGTGACAATGGTGACATGATTTTGCTGGAGGTGGTTGTGATAGGTTCTTTGAGGGGCAGGGGCTGCCACCTGACTGGCTGTCAGGCTAAGTGTGCATGGGGCCTGAGGAGGACTGTCCTTTAGCAAAGACTGCTGCCTTCTACGAGGTAGTGGGGACCATGGGGAGTCTCCAGCTTAACCTTTTTCCTGTAATAATAAGTTCCTGTCTGCTTCTGAGCTGATCCCGGTGAGGGAGACAGTGCGGCAGGGGCAGGGTGCCCCTCTCTATGGTGCTATCTTGAGTGTCTGTGCTTCACCAGGATTTCCCCACTCCCCTGATGCTCTCCAGCATACTTCCTCAGTCATTCCAGTCAAAATATAGTTGTTTATTCATTTTTTTTGGCCCCTTTTCTTGGGGCATTGGGGGGGGGGGTAAGCACTAGGTGACTCTAGTTGGCTGTTTTGCTGACCAGTGTAATTCTCTTTGGATTAGCACAGTGTTTGGATGCCATTGATTTTTTTTAAAACCAAGTTGATCAAACAAGTTATACTTTCTGCTGGGCTGTAACCTCTCTATACATTTGTGCCTCCAGATTACCTTTGACAATAAAGCTCATAGTGGAAAAATCAAAATCTATTTTGACAGTGATGCCAACATCGAAGAATGTAAAGACTTAAACATACTTGGATCTAGTAAGTATGCTATATATTTGCCCATGATGGACTCTTAACACTTTATTTTGGGATTTGGGGTGTTTAAATGGTTTATTTGGATGCTAATAGGAAAACAATTTCCAGAAAACCACATTTTGAGCATTAATACACTAACTGCCATGAGAGTTGTATTTAACTCACTCTAGTTTTGACCCTGGGGCCACGTGACGCATATATAAAATCTTACTTGTTGATGTTCTTATTATTACAATTAATATTGACAATTCTAAAAACGAGGATTAAATAAATAGAAGTCAGTAAAGTTTGTTTTTCTATTTATGGTTACCTTTAAATTATACTCGAAGTTTTTATTCTGTTTTCGTAATAAAACGCTGTGGCCCCAAGGAAAAATTTGGGTTTTTTTGTGTGTGGCAAATCAATGTGTTAAATTCTGTAAAGCATATCCCAAAGCTTTGTGTTTTTGTTTAATTCATCAAATGTTTATTACACTCCACTCAGAGGTTGGATGCCTCAGTGGTTAGGAGCTCAGGCTCTGGAGCCGGACCACCTGGGTTGAGGTTCAGTGCTGCTTACTGTGCCTGTGATCTCGGACAAATGACTTCACCTGTCTGTCTCAGTGTCTCTGTGAAATTGGGGTAATAACAGTGCAGGGTGAACATCTGAAAATCTGAAATCTGATTGCTTCAAAATTTGAAACTTTTTGAGCACCACCATGATGCTCAAAGGAAATGGTCATTGGAGCATTTGGGGTTTCAGATTTTTGGATTTGGTATATTCAACCAGTAAGTATTCTGCAAGTCTGAAATCCAAAAAAAAAAAAAACCGGAAACACTTCTGGCCTGAGCATTTCAGGATACCCAACCTGCACTTATCCTTCCAAGATGCTGAGTATTAAATGAGTTAATATGTAAAGCAAAGCACTGAGAATAAGAGTTGGCACATATTCATTATGAGGCCTTAGTGAGGGAGAAAGAAAGAAAATGCCTTAGTGAGGGAGACTGACATGCTTTTAAAATCTCTTATGTGTTATGGGTAAAAATAAATGGTGCACAGACAAAATGTATGGGAAAGAAAGCAAAAGTCACATTTGACTTGGGCAGAGTGAGAAATAAGATCTAGAAATGACTCTTGGAGAAGGTATGCTTTGATCTGAGCCTCAGACAACGGAAAAGAATCAAGGCCTTGAGAGCCAGAGAGCAGCCTGTACACACGCTGGCTCATTTACTCAGGCATTACTTGGAAAATGCCTGGTACTCCCCATGTTTAAGATAGGGTACCTACCCAACCTGTTCTGTTTGCTCAGCCAGGGGTCGGGATGATGTTAATGCCGGATGGTCAGTATTTTTTGGTTTGCAAATTTGTTCAAGTGAGTTTCCCTTTGACTTGATTATTGGAACAAAATGTAAAATACCTGTGGTTCCTATTTTAGATTGTTTTAAAGTATCATTGATTTGTGGCCTGCTGCTTTTCAGTTGTATCGTATGTTTCCATGATTTCAGTGGTTGCACGACTTAAGCCTCTGATCCAAATAAACTGTTTTGGTTTTTATTAAAAAGCGGTTACTATTCCCCAGCAGACATCACTTTCCTCACAGATACATGGACATTAGGTGCATATGTTCCAAGTTCAAGTATAAGTTGCAATATTCTGTGAAAAGAAGCTAACCTTTGTTACATGTGTGATTTGGAATGGTTGTTATAAAGATCAAAATGACAGAATGAGTTAGTCAAATGTGTTGCCAGAACAGTGTTTCCCATATTAGGGTTTTTTGGTTTTTTTTTCCTGGCCTGTGCTCAGAAGAGCGGCTCTCTGGCCCCCTCCTGTGGCCAATGAAGAGAAACACAAACCTCATAGACCTAACATTTACACATGCTTCTCCTGGAGCTGTGCACTAAGAAACCAGCTATCACTAGGAGAATGCAAATTTAAAATAAAATGATGTGATGTGAAAGCCTTAAAAAGCTGATGTTTGGAAACCAACTTAGGAAAGGGACCCCCCCCATATGAAGCTATCTGGTGGTCAAGATTGTCCTGGCTTTGGGGGAGGTGGGACAAAGGCAAGGGTGACATCTGGTGGGATTCTTACCCAATTTCCAAAAAGTTCTCAGGCTCGTTCACATCCATGCACTTACCCCATGGCTCGCTCTCCCTCTTGCTATCTCAATATTATCATATTATCTCAAGGTGGATATGAAGGCGAATGTCCATTTTCACATATAAACCTCATGTTGCCTTTGTGACCTCTGATTCCCATCTCCAAATGTGCCACTAGTCTTCATGTAACTTGGTTTTATAAGTATAGCAATTTGTCTGTCACTACTTCTTAGTATCTTTAGAAAGAGAGAAGAATACGAATTTTCAAAAATTAATAAAAAAATTAAAAAAATAAATATAGCAATTTGGAGATGAGGGACTTAGGGAGGAATTCGTGGGCAGGATTCCCCATTGATGGGTGATATAAACGGTATTATGGGGAAAGGATTTCAATAATTTCGGGAATCCCTGGGTTAGAGTCCCAAGAGCAGTCTAGTTAGTGGTGGTCTGTGGGACTTCCCTAACCAGGTTGGCAGGGGCATCTTTCAGGACTAATGTTTTATAAACTCTGGCTTGGGAAATGTTCATCTGGGGTGACATTATTTCAATATTGTGAGAAAGCAGTTTAGGATGTTCATTTTATATATATATATATATATATATATATATATATATATATATATATATATTTTTTTTTTTTTTTTTTTTTTTTTTTTTTTTTTTTTTTTTAGCACACCGAATTAGTCTTCTCAGTGATTCAAAGAAAAACAGTATGCTATGCTGGATTCTGTTAGGAGGGATAGTTTATTTTTCTAGGTCTGTTTGTTTTCCCATCTGTAAATAAGGCCCATTGTGAACAATCTTAGAGATTTTTGTTCTAGTTATGTGTCAGAAAGGAAGGTGCCAGATGCTGTCCTTGCATTTCGTAAGATTTTCAGTCCCATCTTCCCAAGAACTGCCTCTGTTTCTTCTGCCCCATTCTATGGGACCAAGAAAAAAAAAAATAAAGGTCCTCTGATAGAGCTAAGTTGTTTTCTTACCTACACATCAGATGATATCCCAGGAAAACTTAAATTTCTTGAGTATAAAATGGCTAAAGGTAAATGTAAGTGCCAGGTGATGGGCTATTCTAACAAGCACTTTACGTAGATTGTGCCACCTGATTCTCATGACAGGCTGTGAAGCAGGTGCACTTGCCCTCCCTGTTTTGTAGGGGCATCTGAAGCTTGGTAAGGTTAAGTCCTTTGCTCAGGGACTTACATTTACTAGCTGGCTGTCTCTGCTCGTCACCCACTGGATGAGCTGCTTTGCCCTCAGACACTCACGCCAATATCACCCACACCTTTGGGTTATTAAATCTGAGGACATGCCGGTGTTTCTCTTCAGTGCCCTCCCTGCAGAGGTGCCGCTGTGGAGTGCGCCAGATGTAGACTCTCCCCTGATGGTTGTCTGTCCCTAGTCCTGTTTCCTTCTCCTCTGGCCTACCTTCTTCATCTCATTACTGAGCTTATCTCTTTTCTAATTCTCAAACATTGTCCCCCCTGCCTCCCCACTCCACCATCTTTCTTACTCTGCTTGTCTCTCTGTGAACTCTCTGAGTAGCTGTCCACTCCCATGGCCTCAGCTGCCACTGAATCGTCCTCTTTTCTCATGAATGTCCAGACTGAACTCAGTTTACCCAAGACAGAAAACCAGGAGTCATCTTTGGTTGTCCTTTTTCCTTATTCCCCAGATCCATCTGAAGACCAGGTTGTGACTCTCCTTTATCTATTGCAGCTCTGTGCCTTTTCCTTTCCCTCTGCCCCTCTCAGCTCAGATCTTCATAAGTTCTAACTTGGACTATTCAGTGGTCTGGTGTTCGCAGTTCTCTTCATTTATTTGTATGCTAAGCACAGGTGCTGTATTTTGTTGAACACTGCTGTCTTTGTCCTGTCTTTTTTTCTGTTGCTGAGAACACCTGAAACCAACTAATTTATTTTTTAAAATGTGTTTCTTACATTTCTGGAGACTGTAAGAAGCCCACACATCCGGTGAGGGCCTCCTTGCTGGTGGGGACTTTCTTCAGAGTCCCGAGGCAGCACAGGACATCACATGGTGAGGGGGCTGAGTGTGCCAGCTCAGGTCTCTCTTCCTCTTCTTACAAAGACACAGTGCCATTCCCATGATAACCCATTACTCCTTGAATGGATTGATCCCTTTGTGAGGACAGAGACCTTATAACCCAATCACCTCTTAAAAGCTCCCCCTCTCAATACTGCCACGTTGCACATTAAATTACAACATGAGTTTTGGAGGGGACACATATTCATAGCAACTACTCATGGTTCCTGCCTCACAGCCAATCTTTCGGTGGGGAAGATGGACATTGAGTGATAAAATAGTAACCACTAAGTGTTTGCTGTTATTATCTCCTTAAGGCTGTTCCAAGGGCTTTTCTTATATGAACTTGTGTAATCTTCTCTACAGCCCCATGATGTGGGTGATTTTTATCCTACCCATTTTTCAGATGAGAAAACTGAGATACAGGGGTTCAGCAACTTCCCCAAGGCTCTACAGCTTCTGAGGGCAGAGCCGAGATTCAGAGCCAGGCCCTCAGGCTCCTTCCCCATTTTACACTGTGTCTGCTGTGTGCTGTGGTCTTTGAAGATGGAATTGTGGCTGTTGTGCAAAGGCAGTAAAAGGAGCTGTAGATGTGTGTAGTCACAGAGAGTGCTGTGAAAGGATATAGGAGAGGGCTGAGAGAGATGCAATTTAGGGAATTCTGTTCTAAAGATTGTTAACCTGAAACCTAAGGCTGCATCCTAATTGAGCATGTGTGGGGGTTGGGGAGATGTGCCATTGCAGACAGAGGGACCAGCAAGTGCAAAGTCCTGCAGGCAAAGCACAGTAGAGGAGGTGGGGGCCGGGCAGGAGGGAGCCAGAGTGGAATTTGGGATGCTATCGTGAAGTCTGAGAGAAGCTAAGGTTACAGTTTCATCTCCCTCCAGTACATTCTCCCTGCTACTGTGTGTTCCAAACCCAAAATCTGATTACCAGGCTCCTCCTTACTTCCATTCCAAGAAGTTATTTCTCTACATGCAAAGAAAGCTTCTCAAATTGACACTGTGCTGGGAAGGTGCACAGTGAGATTGAGAAGCAGAAATGGGGCTTCTGAGTGATGGTGTTTTAATTTGTCTGTTCCCTCATTGATGTTGAACTTGGTGTCTGTGCTTTTAGGTGAAAGAGCTTAGAGTCTATGTCAGTAGTTTTGTCTTCTTTGAATGGAGCCTAAATGGATCACCTTCTGTTGAATTCTATTTATAATAGAATTCAGAAAACATTTATAAATAAATTTAAATGCACTTATTAGCAGCTCATATTTTTAAATGTATAAATCTTCACATCAGGGAGTGTTTTACTTTTTGGACCTCTGAATGGATGTAGTGTGATTTGTTTCTGAAATTTACCATTTTAACAGCAGACAAAACATTTTGTTTTAACAATAGATAAAACATTTCTCATTTGAACTTCTTTTCATACTGCCATTTTCTTTGGAAGTCTGTCTCAGGTAAGGTGTGTTCAACATTTGAATTCTGTTTTTATTCTTCAGCTCAGAAAAATACGGAGTATGTCCTGGTGTTCGATGCATTTGTCATTGTGATTTGCTTGGCATCTCTTATTCTCTGCACAAGGTCCATTGTTCTTGCTCTGAGGTTACGAAAGGTAAGTGTGTGTCCCTGTTTTCTCCCTGCCCTCTGGGCCTGCTCCCCGTCTGACCACGTAGTGGACCACTGATGTACCATCTGCCTTTCTGGAGCCCTTTGACTAAATTGGATTCCTTTGAGTGATTGCCCCCGTGAGGCATAATCAGCCTGGAGTGTAGGACGTGGTAAAGACTCTGAGTATGTCAGGTGGGATCAGATAATTATCCTGTTGACAACTGAGCTAATAAGTACAGGTGCTCAGTGGTGAACTCTAAAGCTTTTGCATGTTTCCAGAATAAACGAGGCCCTTTTAATGCAGGAGTGATCTTAAGAACAAAGTAATAGCATGTGTGGGTTTCATCTTTTGTCTTCAAATCAGAGTTCGTTTTGACAGGGAAGCATGGTAAATGGGTTATAATGAAATATAAAATACTTTATTTTTTAAATAGTTTAAACACTTTCCTCTGAGTTTCATTTTACCTGTCTACTCTCAGGGCTCTTATGAGTATATACTCTAGTTCTCCCTAAGTCTTACTCCGGTCTGTGGCATGTGTAGAAATGCCCTATTGGGGTCAGTGGAATACTATCTGTGGAACAAGGAAATAGTCTACATTCCATTTTCCTTAATCTTGACCTTTGTCATTTTACGTTGTAAATCTCCACCTCTTTTCCCTGCCCCCCAGTCCCCTTGATCCAAGGTTAATGTCCTATCTCTGCCAAAGTGAGGGGTAACAGTAGGAGCACACACTGTGGAGCCGGTCTGCCTGGACGCAGGTCCTGACGTAGCCTCTCTGAGCCTCAGTTCCCTCACCTGGGGGGCAGGACTGATGGCACCTGGTTCATCGGGTTGTCATCAGAATGAACGAGTTGATAATATGGAAAATATTTAGAACATACTATATGTTGGCTATGATGACAAGAGCCTGTTGGCGTTGGAGCATACGTATTTAACATTTGGGTTCATTTAGCAGGCAGTGGAAAGCTTACTTATCACTGGGGTAGATTATGGGGAAAGTGTGTGCCGTACTCTCCGCCCTTGAAGTGGCTCTATCAAGTTGGAGAGGCAGGGCCCTGTCATTTCACAGATAAGGGCACTGTTTCGCGCTTGTCATCTCCTTCCAGAGTGTAGTGTGGTTTGTAAGAAATGCTTTTTAAAACGTTTGCCGTAGAGATTTCTAAATTTCTTCCTGGAGAAGTACAAGCGGCGGGTGTGTGATGCCGACCGGTGGGAGTTCATCAACGGCTGGTACGTCCTGGTGATCATCAGCGACCTAATGACAATAATTGGGTCCATATTAAAAATGGAAATCAAAGCAAAGGTAATATCTTAATATCTTTTGTTCTTTATATTTTTCTACGTGACCTTGGGCATTTTAAGGTATAAAATCCTATGGAGACTGGCTTGATTCTGGCATGATTCACACTCGTACAAGCGAGGCCTCCTCTGGCTCAGTGACTCGGGAAGGGAAAACGAGGAAGCTGGTGCACTTTGGGAAGTGATATTCCTGTGAATGCCTCCAGGAAACTCGGCAACACCTTCAGAATAGTAACTAAAGTTTGAGAAGATTGGTTATCTGGGCTTCATTTTTTTTTCTCTTTAAGTTGCAAAAGGAGCAGCTTACTCATAAACCAGTCACTTCCCCTGAACACACATGTCACGAGGCCGTGGTGAGGACCTGTGACTGTCGGGTGGTGGACAGATGGGGGTGAGGGCAGAAACACTGGAGCGACGCTAACGCCCCACACTTAGTACAGTGAGCTGATTTACCCTCATAACTAAGCCTTGACTCCTCCTCCTCCCGGCTCTTCTCCTCTCCACGCTGTGCTGGTATCAGCAGGTCTCACCCACTTCACCTCCTAACTACAGTGCCTCCCTCTTCTCCATCCAGACCACGCTGGCTTCCTTCAGGCCACCTTCTTCTCTGTCTGGACATTCCAGCAGCTTCCTCACTGGTTTTCCTACCTTCTGTCTAATATCCCTGGGATCCAACTACACCGCTGTCAGAATGGTTTTTCTGGTAGTGTCTATCTTGCTGTTGCAACCCTTTCTGCCTCCTGGGGCCTGCTTTGGGAGGAAGTGGGTTCCCCTAAGTGTGGCCTTCAGGGTCCTCGTCATCCAGCTCTGCCTCTGCTCCTTCTCTGGCTCTGACACCTCCCTGGAGGACATCGCACTAGTTCTCAGCATCATCTGTGCTCAGCCTTTGGCCACCTACCTGCGGTGTTTTCTCCCGGCCTGTCCTGCAGGCCCAGCTCCGTTCTGCAGTCACGCCTGTGGGAACCCCTCTGTGACAAGCTAGGCCCTGTGTCTTTCATTGCACTTAGCATATTAGAATCATGCTTGTGGCTGGGCATGGTGGTAATCCTAGCACTCTGGGAGGCCGAGGCAGGCGGATTGCTCAAGGTCAGGAGTTTGAAACCAGCCTGAGCAAGAGTGAGACCCCGTCTCTACTAAAAATAGAAAGAAATTAATTGGCCAACTAAAAATATATAGAAAAAATTAGCCAACCATGGTGGTGCGTGCCTGTAGTCCCAGCTACTCAGGAGGCTGAGGCAGAAGGATTGCTTGAGCCCAGGAGTTTGAGGTTGCTGTGAGCTAAGCTGACACCACAGCACTCTAGCTCAGGCAACAGAATAAGACTCTGTCTCAAAAAAAAAAAAAAAAAAAAAAGAATTGTGTTTGTGTGTTTTTTTTCTCAATCAGACCTGGAATTTCTTGAGAGTAGGAATTGTGTTAGCAAATCATGGTGGAGCTTTCTTTCAAAAGTAGCTGAATTATATTGTTTGATATTTAGCAAACACCATTTGTTTATATTCTTTAATGCCTAGGTCAGTGATAAATGCAATTTCTGTTTCAGGATATTTGGGGGAAAAAATCAGTTGAGCCAATTTAAGGAAGTGAGAAACACATTTGGAACTGTGTTCTCTATTTTTCTTCATTCTTTTTCTTTTAAAAAATTCTTAATATCACCTATAGGGGGCAGATAATTCATTCTTTACCAGTTAGTTTAAAGTGAGATTAATAAGGTGAGTGGAGTAGAATATTTTACTCATTTGTCTTTTTTTTTTTTCCATTCCTTAGAATCTCACAAACTATGATCTGTGTAGCATTTTGCTTGGGACATCTACGCTGTTTGTTTGGGTTGGAGTCATCAGATACCTGGGTTATTTCCAAACATACAATGTAAGCGTTGGACAGTGCTGCTACAACTGGGGCTCATTTCTTCTTTGGGTTCCAGTACCTAGTTTTCATTTCCCCCATTCTGCTGATTTTTTTTCAGGTGCTCATTCTAACGATGCAAGCCTCATTGCCAAAAGTTCTTCGGTTTTGTGCTTGTGCTGGTATGATTTATTTGGGTTACACATTCTGTGGCTGGATTGTCTTAGGACCATATCATGACAAGGTGTGTATCACTAATTCTTCCTTCTTCACATTAGGCATGTGGGACCCTTAAAATGGGGTTTAGACTTACCCCCTTCCTTACTCTTCTGCAGCACATACCCCTGACACCAGGAAGCACATATCTGTGCATCCATTTTTTTTTTTTTTCTCTCGTCCTTCTCAGGATATTGAAACAAGGACTTCACAAGACTAGAAATCAGATATTATAGTTGTCTGGGACTGGCTTAAGGGGTCATGTATTGACAGAGTGATAATCAAATGAGAAATGTTTGGACATGAGTTCACTGTAGTAAAAATGAAAATTAAGTGAGGAAAATTTTATAAAATCTTTCTAATTTAAAGTATTAGGATTTTCATCTAAGTTAATTAAGAAGAGTGAAGGTGGGTAAAGACCCTAGACTCTAGAATGCCTAGAATGACCATGTTTGGTTTATGATTTAAATGATTGATGCATCTTGTCTCTGCAGGTGGTTTTGATTATAGCATCATCGTGCCTTATTAAGATCAGTATCTGAGTTCTAAACTATTACTGAATTTCAGTCAGCATCATAATCTGAGGGACATCCAAGTTATCCTAAAATGTTCTTGTTTCAAAATGATATATTTAATTGGTAGATATATCAGGAAATGAAACCAGGTAGGCCTTGCTTTTAACCCCCCAAAATAAAAGGAGTTATTATATCTTACAGTTTTTCTTCCATGGGCCTGTGGCAGTTGGAATCATAGCTGCTAATACTGCTTGTGTGTTCGGCACTTTGGGGTGCATTTCCGTGTTCTCCCTCGTTTAATCACCCCAACAGCCCAGGATACTGTTATCCTCACTGAGGTGCTCTGCAAGGAGAAAAGAGGTTAAAAATGTGAAGTATTGCCTCCAAGTTTGTATAACAGTTTAGCCTTAAGTTTTGATCTTGATAGTTGGGCTAACTAAAATGTGATCAAACCTGGTTTGCCAAACTGTTGACAAAAGAGTAAGCTATACATGAATCTCAAACCTTCTGTGTTGTCCTGACAAAATAAAGCGTAGTAACCTGGCACACCCAGACTTTCTCCTCTTTAAGTGTCACACTTAATATGTCCAGAGAGAATTACTACTGTTTTTCTTATTTGAGATACTGTGTAATTAACAAAGAGAAAACCTCTTGGTTAATAGTAAATCTTGATAATCTTATTGCTCTTCAAATTCCATGTCACTCCTTTAAAAGTGACTCATGAGAAAGAGATTGTTCTTTGATATGATCTCTCTGATCAGGAGCACTTAACTGTCTTGGTGCCTAAGAAAATTTACATTTTTCTTTCTGACTTGCCTTATGCTCTGGAAGTTTTCCCACCTCTTTGTCACTAGAGGGCAGTGTTGTACCATCTGGAATAAATACTGAACCTGAGGATTTGGCTTTTTCACTGGCCCCAAGATTTCAGTACAAGTGGTCCTATCTCCTTTACACCTTCCAATCCCACCCCAATCTCTTCTACACATCAGTATTCTGGAACGTGCTCAGATAATGTTGCTTCAATTTTACTAGATGCCTACCATTCTTGATTGCTATTTGTTAGGCATGGTGCCCAAGCTCTTTACCTCCTTTGCTGTGTTAACTCTCTCTTTCCCTTCTCTATAGGGAAATATTATTATCATTTTACAGAAAATAGGCAGCTTAATATAGTAAATAATTTTCCTGAGGTTACCCAAGTAGTAAACAGCAGAGATGGAATTCAAACCCAGGTCTGCCTGAACCCAGTACACATGCTTTAACTAATACCCTGTAGGGCTTTTCTTGGTATTGTCTAAAACAGATCATTGCAAAAGAACATTTGGTCTGACCCAAGAAGCAGGGTTGTACTTCTAGATCAACTGTGAGAGGAGAGCCACATAATCAGTCTCATTCTCTCGATGTGTGTCAAGGTTACCTCCTGGAAAACGAGGTTATTGGTTTTGTGAGCCTGACTGCATTTCCATATGTTCAATTCTGGCCTTTCAGAGGATCCAGGTGACATTGGGATGCTCTGGGCCAGCACTGTCCAATAAAAATATAATGCAAGCTACAAATGAGAGCCATGGGTATACGTTAAAATTTTCTGGTAGCCACATTACAAAATAAAAATAAGCAGATGAAATTAATTTTAATTATGTGTTTTATGCCTACTATATCTAAAATATTATTTCAGCATGTAGTCAGTATAAAATAGATATTTTACATTCCTTTCATTATAGGAAGACTTTGAAATCTGGTGTATATTTTATCCTCATAGTATGTCTCAATTTGGACTAGCTACATATCAGGTGTTCAGTAGTCACATGTGGCTAGTGGCTACCATTATGGATGTTGTACCTCTGACTTATGTTTCTCACTTAATGTCAGCCTTCCCTTTATCCTCCAGAAGAGTAGAGGGATAGGGATTTCTCTAAGTTTGCCTAGCAAGTATGTTCATAGCATCTGTAGCCAGGCTGATATACTGGGGAAAATGCATAGTTGTGTTAATTCAGTGAGTGCATGAGTTAGTAGAGGGAGAGAACGTGAGTCCAGTTCTGGAATTTTCAGCTTTTGTTCTCTATATTGCTTCTTCTTTGAATCTGCAGTTAGAAAATTTTACTGCTTCCTGCTCCATTTCCCACAGATTAATCCAAACTGTCGAAAACTTTCAGCTTCTGCCAGTATCTGTTGAATCAGAGGACCTTGAGTGTTACCTGAAGTCTTGAAAAGATGAGCCTTACAGCAAGTGTTTTCTAGGATTTTTAGAATCATGGCAACCTTGAACATAAAAGCCCATTCTTTCTTTAAAACAAACAGAAAAAACTCTAAAAAGGAAAACTATAATTTGAACCTGTTGTTTGCTTGGTAGCTGGAGTCCTCCAATGCTTTAGCTTCCTCTCTTCCTATTAGACATCTAATTTTTCAGTGGTTCAGTTGAAACGGGATAAAGATGCAGAAAGTGTCCTGCTATTGTTTGTTCCCAGCACTGATGGATCTTGGCACGGTGCCCTTCCAAAACGTCTGGGCACCGAGGGCTAAAGATGTTGATGTTCTTCCAAACCTCATCTTGCATTATTAAATATTACTCTAATGTGGCTTTTACATTTCCAGACAACTTTATTTATTTATTTTTTACTGTGAGGAATAAATTATAGTTTTACATTGTCCCCATTTTACAAATGAAAAGACTAAGGCATTAAAAAATTGTTGGACTTTGCCGACGCCATGGGTAAAAGTTTGGCAGACCCTACGGTACATCTTCATGCTTCCAAAGCCTCTGGGTTTAGCCAAGCACCTCTCTTATTCAAAAGACCTGTTAGCCAGTTATAACATTTTACCTAAAAGTTGTATGAGGTTCTTAGCACCAGCTTTTGAAGCAAATTGTTGTCATTGACATTAGCCATTGCAATTTATGTTTTCATTCACATGAAAGTTTTTTTGCATCAATCACAAAATTATCATTTGTGAAATGAGTGCTTGGGTTCTCACTGTGGTCTCAGAGAACCTATGGGGATTCTTATGGAAATACCCCTTCAATATTTATTAAATGTGACACACTAAATATTGTCAGCTTCCTCTAGACCAAGTTCTTGGAGGGCAGGGATGATGGCTTATTCCTCTTTATGTTCCCAGTGTCCAGCATGATGCACAGAACATGGGAGGTGCTCAGCAAGTCTGTTGAATGAATAAGAAACAGGGAGAGATAGCAGTGCCTGCTTTCCAGGGCCCTATGATCTCTTATAAACCAAAGCAAGGCCCTATGAATGTGGTCATTTTAGACTGGAAGCACATTAGGACCTCACCTTGGATGAGGATGGGGTGTTTTTTAAGCTCACTTCTATTACGGAATTTGGCCACTGAAACTGACTATGGTTCACAGCCACTTCTTGTGGTACAAAATGATAGAGTGTGTACCAATCACCTAATTTATTGGGTCACTATTTTAACTTTTTGGTGTATTAAAATAATTCTCATGTACACAGAAGAGGGAGAGACAAGACAAAATGGTTATGAATAACATTAATGTTCAGGCAGATATTGTATTTACGGGGAAGTAAGGAATGAATTTGATCTGGGCTAATCCACTAGCTATTTGCAGTTCTGAAACCTGAAGCACAGGCCATTAGGGGTTCTTGAAACTAAAGAAAAGAATTGACTGGATTCCAAAAGAAACTACTGGAAATATGAATAGTGCTGTCAGGGTTGTAATTGACATCCATAGAAACCAGATTTAACTTCACTGTCTTAAGGCTAGTGGAGGGGATAGAAAATATTTACTTTGGGAACCGCCTGTCTTATTGTTAAATAATCTGCATATTGTTAAGTGATTTACTCAACCGGATGTTGCCTCCAGGTTTTGATGGGATTAGTGTAGTTCATCAGAATTGTTGCTGATGCAGAACTCTGATGACTCTTGTGTGGGGTGCTTTTGTATACCTTTTCCCTTGGCCACCCATTTTGCTTTGCCTGGTTCAGCCTTAGGGAGTGTTAAGACATGGTGTTTGCTGTCTAGCTGGGGTATAGAGAAGTGTGTGTGATAAACAAGGAGAAGATCATCTGTAGTTTACTCTGTGGTTCTTTTTTTTTTTTTTTTTTTTTGAGACAGAGGCTTGCTTTGTTGTCTAGGCTAGAGTGAGTGCTGTGGCATCAGCCTAGCTCACAGCAACCTCAAACTCCTGGGACTACAGGCATGCGCCACCCTGCCCGGCTGATTTTTTCTATATATATCAGTTGGCCAATTAATTTCTTTCTATTTATGGTAGAGACGAGTCTCACTCTTGCTCAGGCTGGTTTCGAACTCCTGACCTTGAGCAATCCTCCCGCCTTGGCCTCCCAGAGTGCTAGGATTACAGGCGTGAGCCACCGCGCCCGGCCTGCTCTGTGGTTCTTATGATACAGAGTACAGAGAAGGGACTAGAGCTACCAGGGCAGTCTGTCTTGAAGTAGACTTTGAATAACTCTTGAACAGTGGCTTGATTGGACATGGAGAAGAGGAAGAAGAATATGCCAGGTGAGGAGAATAAATCTCATGAGGAAAAAACATAGAAATGGACCTGATGTTGTGGGAAGAGACGAGCACAGGGTGTTAACATTGATAGGAGGAGATGCAATGAGACCACCTGAAGGAGGAACTTATCCCAACCTTCTTGGTTCAGATTTTTATTTTGCATCCAGACTTTGTACGGTCTTATGTAAAAGAAAGGACCTAAAAGCCATCTTCTATGAAGTTTAATTTTACTGCAGCTTGGACTAGAGGGTGAAGAGGTTGGAGTGAAAAAGACTTCCTTGGAGCTTTCTGTAATAATCCAGATATCAGTATTGACAAGTGCTGACATTGGAATAGAGTAGAAAGGGTGGATCAGAGAACCATGTCATAGGAACAAACAGGCCTTAGGAGACTGAAGGGAGAGGAAGGTTAATGTGTTCAACACATAGTTTTAAGTACTTGATTATTTTAGAGTAAATGTTTCTTTGGTAAGAGATTAGAATTACTGACAGAAATAGGGAAATCTGGAAGGAAAGCCCGTTTTCCTTAGTTTGTTGTCATTTTCAAGGAATGATCTGTTTCATAACAGACATACTCTAAGTGTGAATAGCATAAGAAGATACTTATGTTAAGTAGGGAAAAAATCAGGATTCAAAATTATCAGATGGATACAACTACAAATATATAAAAAGTACATAGGGAAAAAATGAGAAATGTCAAGAGATTATCTTTGAGAGTGTAAAGGGGGGTTTTGAATAATGTTTTCCTACTTTTTGTGGTTTTCTAGCTGTCTTAAGATGAATAAGTTACTCCTACCACAAATGACAGCAATAACAACTTTAACAAAATAAGCTAACTAGGTACTATATCTCAGAAACTAACTTTGTTTCCCCCTTCTACAGTTTCAAAATCTGAACACAGTTGCCGAGTGTCTGTTTTCTCTGGTCAATGGTGATGACATGTTTGCAACCTTTGCTCAAATTCAGCAGAAGAGCGTCTTGGTGTGGCTGTTCAGTCGCCTGTATTTATATTCCTTTATCAGCCTTTTTATATACATGATTCTCAGCCTTTTTATTGCACTTATTACAGATTCTTATGACACCATTAAGGTAAGTAATTATCAATATTTGCTGCCAAAAAATTACTATAAATTCTATATAGATTAGAACATAGGAAAATATCACATATTTTACTTAAAATATTATAATTCTATTTAGATTTTGAGAATATATAGACAACAGACTTTCTAGATACTGGAGGTTAGTTTTAAATATGCATTTGGGACATGTCCCTGTTCCTCGGATCAGGGTGGGTTGGTTTGGAGGTGTGGGAGGAAGGGGTAAGGATGGCTGGGTGTGGGGAATCGGGGAGTCTGGGCCGTGGGCTCAGCCCTGACAGATGCACCTGCCTGGCGGCTGCCTGGAGCTTAGGCTTTGAGTCAGTTTCAGTGATAAGGGGGTCTGCCACCCTGACAACTCTGCAATTATTAGGACAACTGACACTGGATGATAATGGCTACTTGTGTGGTACAAGTTCCCTTTAAATTATGAAAACTAAGGCTCTTATGGCTGTTTAGCTTCCTACTTTTTTAAGTTACCTGGTGAGTTCTGTATCATTTCAGACTGGGCCCGTTTAATCTGTAGCTTGAAGGAAATTCACTTCCTTAGTCCCGGTATTTTCACAGCAGATGGTGGTGCTTGGAAAATGCTGTGTGAGGGTCGGTGTCTGGCCAACCGGGGTGCCATGTCGGTACCTTGGGGTGCTGTCCTCTGCTTAACACCTCCTCAGAATAACTCAGAAGACAGCCAGTCCTTTGCAAAAACTCCTGAGCACGTCTTTAGCGTGTGGGGAGGTTGGTGTTCAGGTGGGAATGGTAGTTGTCTCTAGAAGTAGGGATTGGCACGGAGAGAGAAGAGTTGTCTTTTAACACACCCCTCGCTAGCTGTTCCCAGCTTTCTTTCCAGAGTTTTCCTTTGGATTGTTCTCTATTCCCGTGGTTGCCCCGGCTTGGCGTTCTGGGACTGACGGATTGATTCATCGTCTTTAATATTAGTTCTTGGATCTAGACTAGCAATGGGGGAGAGTTTTATTTTAGCAGAGGTGGGTTTGGTTTGTTGACAAAGAGAACAATTCTCATGCTCGATAAATAAGGTAACAACATTATGTACTTTTTAAAGAAATTCCAACAGAATGGGTTTCCTGAAACGGATCTGCAGGAATTCCTGAAGGAATGTAGCAGCAAGGAGGAGTATCAGAACGAGTCCTCAAGCCTCCTGTCCTGCGTCTGCTGTCTGAGGAGGTCAGTGGTGTGGCCAGTCTCTGTGCTCCTGAGACGGCCTGCTCTGTTGCCTTGAGACAGAGCCACTCCGAGATTAGCACTACATGCAGAAATCAGCTTATTGTGAGAAATAATTCATTCTTCTTTTTTTTTCGCCCCACTGAATTGGGTTTAAAAGTGAATTGTTTCTTATGAGAAAGAGTTGGAAGAAAGCTACATGATGCGATTGCAATCTCTCGGGAATATATGAGACTGTTAAAAGAGACATGAATTATGTCCCTAAAGTCAAGAGACTGAATTCTTAAGCGGCCAAAGTAAGAGGTCAGAGATCTTGTTTTTAGAGGTGGAACTCTGGGACGGTCAGAGGTGTTTCCCCCTTTCACAGTATGGTACGGATAACCTTTCTTGATCAGAGCAGGGAATCTGCTTGAGAGGAGGCTGTCTGTGTGCTTGGTTGGACACGTGTGTTGGCAGCTCTGCCTTGGCCAGAGCGCCCGCCCTGCTGCTCGTCTGCACGCTTAGGAAAATGGTCTGGACCTCGTGGATCAAGTGTCTCACATAGGGGTCTGGGGGTCAGATGAGGACAGTTTCTTAAATGTGCCTATGTTTGTTTTCATCTGAAGTAAGGGTAGAGGTTTTTTTTATTATTATTATTATTTCAGGATATTATGGGGGTACAAACATTTTGGTTACATGTTATGACTTTGCCACATCCAGGGTAGAGGTTTTTAACTAAAAGTATACCCTACCCATTTTTTTTTCAAACAAGAAAATGTGAGAACATAATTGCTATTTAAAATCACAGGATGCATTTTTCTGTTAATCAATTCATACCTCATCTTGGGATTTGAAATTACATGATTAAGCATATCCAAAGAATGTCTGGTAAATATGAAATGAGGTCTTCTGAGAAGAGCTGTTTTTAAAATGGCATTCTATCCTCTCAGAGCATTAAATTGTTGCTGTGGAAGCTGGGATAGAGGGAAATTAATTTTCCTAATAGACAGCCGCCCCCTCAGAGGTAGCCTGTATAAAGAAAGTCTGTCAAAGTTGCTTTTCTATTATATAGTTAACTTTAAGGGGGGAAAATTCACTGGAGAATGTAGTGGTGAATTCTGAAGAGTAACTAGTAAGTCTTTGGTGTTTGGACCTTGGTTTGCACCCCTTGTAGTCCTGGAAGGTTGTTAAATGTTTTCTTGTGCTGCCACATAGAGTGAACGAAAGATTTAAAGGGTGGACTAGAAGCTGTGATAAGATTGGATCCGGGTGGTGAGAAGAAGGAAGCAACATCCGCAGAGGGTTTGTTAAGGTGTGCTAGTCGAGGTGTGCTAAGGGCTGTTGAGAACAGATGCCTGGTATGAAGGAGGGCCTGCCCACCCATCACGAGGAGTGAAAGAGTGAAACAAAATAAGAGAGTCCACCAAGGAAATAAACTGAGAAACTAGCATGATGACAGTCTTAAACAACAACAACAACAACAAAAAACCCCAAAAACCCTAGCAGTGGCTGTGGGCATGTTTGGCTAACAGATGGTGACAGGTGAAGTCAGCCAGAGAAGTTTCAGTGGAACCATCCGCCCAGAGCCTAGACCCCAAGGAGTTTGGATGGATGTTGCAGAGTGAATGGGGGTCGCAGGGCCTGATGGAAGGAAATGGATTGTAATGGGGCCTTGAAAACAAGTGATGACTTTGACTCATCAAAAACTCACTATACCTTGATGTGTTTAAAACCTAGGAACAGAGGATGGAATAAAATTGAGAAAGGCTGTGAATGGAGAGTAAATATTGGAGAGGGACCTCAGTGAGGCAATGTGGGGAACACCAAGATTGAGCACTGCAGAGATTGTTGTCTTGTGTTCCCTGTCTGGTGACCATGACAGATGACACCATCTGCCCCAGCTCTGCCTCCTGCAGGGCATGGATGTGGTCACTTTTTCAACAAAGCAGTTCAGCAGGTACCACATGTGGATCCCCCTTTGGATTATTGACAGAGCCTCTAGCCTGAGCAGCAGAACACCTGGGTTTTCATTTTGAAACCTGCCATTAACCAAGTGTGTCCCATGACCTCTTCCAAACCTCTTGGACCCTCCAGTGTCATCAGGGCAGACCAGATGAGCTCTGAAACCCCCTCCAGTTCTAAACTGATGTGGTTCTTTGGAGAGAGATGCTTGGTGGAAGAAATGTAGAATGAACCTTTGCTCTTCTTTACTGCAGTGAAGGAGAATTGGCTGTTCTAGCCCATTGTGAGTTTTGGTTAGCAGAAGAGTATGGAAGCTCTTAAGAGATGGCCAGTTCCTCATAATTTGTTTCCAAAAGTGTCGACTCACACCTCAACTAGTGTAAATCACCCTTCCTAATTTCTCTTCCTCTTATATGTTTCACTCAACATGTCTATAACCTATTGAATGTAGAGTATTCCTATTTCTCCTCAAAGATTTTAAAATCATTGCTCACTTTTCTCTTTCCTTCTCCCCCTTTCTGTTACAGGAAAGGAAGCAGTGATCACTTGATGCTTATTAACTGAAGACCTTCTGCTAAAATCAATTAAGGTTCAGGCCTCTTTATCCAGTGGTAATATAGAGGGATGCCAAACAGCTTGGACCGGCAGTTCCAGAAGGACTATCTTATTTAATTATGCTGCAGAAGAGAGAACTGTCAGCTGGCTGACCACGACTGAAGTTCCAAAGTTAATTTTTTATAAACTTAGATGAAGAAGAATAGACCATGTGCTACTACCGGGCATTAGTGCAATTGCGCAGTGAAAATGAAATTCTCTATTAGTCTGTTAATTTATGACATGATAATGTTGGGGTGGGAAAAAATCACATTTCAGAGTGTGCAAGACAGTGGTGTTTAAAGCCATGTATTTAAAGATATGTGTTTATTATCACATAAGGATTTATTTATTTTTTTTTTTTGAGACAGAGTCTCGCTTTGTTGCCCAGGCTAGAGTGAGTGCCGTGGCGTCAGCCTAGCTCACAGCAACCTCAAACTCCTGGGCTCAAGCAATCCTCCTGCCTCAGCCTCCCCAAGTAGCTGGGACTACAGGCATGCACCACCATGCCCGGCTAATTTTTTCTATATATATTAGTTGGCCAATTAATTTCTTTGTATTTATAATAGAGACGGGGTCTCGCTCTCGCTCAGGCTGGTTTCGAACTCCTGACCTCGAGCAATCTGCCCGCCTCAGCCTTCCAGAGAGCTAGGATTACAGGCGTGAGCCACCACGCCCGGCTAAGGATTTATTTTTAAATGTGATTCTTGGGTCCAGAGACATTTGTTGATTCATGGTTGGCACAGAAATGAAGTTGGTTGCAATACCAACTTGTAGACTCCAAGCTGGAGAAACTATTAAGCCATTTAAAGATCAGACTGAAATGAACACAGCACCTAATGCAGTGGACATCTTTTGTGCTACTTCCCTGTGAATTTTCTTCAGCATGATATGAAGCAACTATTGGCACAGTCAGTGGGATGAATAAGAAATAGTCATTTGGATGCCTCGTTACTTGTACTAGTTGTTAATTGCACACACATGACATGTGGAAGTGAACTGCAGCCTGGTCAGTCATTTTGACAACTGACCTCCACTGAGTTGGGGATTTACCTTTGTCAAGCAAGGAAATATGGTATATTTTTCTCCAAATAAACTTATTTTTTATCATATCATATGACACTCCTACTATTTTTTAAAATGCAGTGTCTCTTAACATCTACCCAATGAAAAATTCAGATCACATCTGTATTAACTAGCTGGTCTCCAAAAGGGATCTTCCACTTTCTTAAAAGCAGTGAAGAAGATATAGGGGCTAGTATATAGAAATGACTTAATAAATATTTATGATAATGACTTGAGAGATGAACATCACTTCATGCATAGACTTATTTCATACTTGAGCTATCTCGGGGGTCAATTATTTTAAAGTTATTGGCAAAGAGTAGAATGTGAATTAAGTGGGACCCTCCTTCCAGAGCTCCCCCTGTCTTTCCCTGGCCTCAGCCATGCCCCTTGCCCTAAGCCATACCCAATTTTCCTTCCCGTGTCCTCCTCCTATCTCCTTGCCTTCACTGTATCTCCATGTGCCCACACTAATCTAGGCAGGGAGAATCATCCAGTTAATACCATTAAAGTTTGTGATATAGTAAATGACCCGTGTCTACGCACAGAATACTCTGCTAAAATTACCATTTTAAACTTCTTTTTTTTCCCAAAAATGTCAAGAGTTATGTTCAAATTTTTTAAACTAAGGACCTTTAAACTGGTGGTTCTGGGATAATTTACATGACTCTGGAATTAGGTATGTAATTAGACCACTTATTAACTTCTGAGTATATTCTTACATACTTTGTTTTATCTCTGATCAGAATTGCTATTAAAGCCTCTCGCTTATTCTGCAGCTGTGACTGCCTTGGAATAGAAGATTAACGATGGTCTTCCATATTCATATTATTCTTTTATTGGCTTTCACGTTTCCTTTCATTTCTTTTCCTTCCAGCTGGCCAAAACACTTTCAGGAAGAAAAATATTTTTCAAGGTTACCCCACATGTGTGGAAACATTGTTTTCTTCCTTTTTAGTAATTTTAAACAATTGTCACTTTACCAACTGTGTCATCTGTTTGGATTTTATTGAACAACGTTGTGTTGTAACTCTGCTAATAGACACATCTAGGACCAACCGTTTTCTCTTAGAATTTATCTCCTTGGCTTACAGTGACACTGTCAAAGCCACATGCAATGTCCTAAAGCCTGTCTACTTGGGGTGGTAGGAAACGGCATGGGCAAGGGAGCTGTCTAGACCAGGGGTCCTCAAACTTTTTAAACAGGGGCCAGTTCACTGTCCCTCAGACCATTGGAGATTGCGCACTGTGGGCCCAGGACGAGTCGGCTGCTAAAAAGGACAGGCAGTGGCGGCAAAAACACCCGGAGGGCCGGATAAATGTGCTAGGCGGCCCATATGTGGTCCACGGGCTGTAGTTTGAGGATGCCTGATCTAGACAGACCTGAGTTAAAAGCTGAAGTTTAACCTGTAGCTTTGAGGCCTTGCGAAGTCACTTTCTTCCTCTAAGTGATGATGAGAAACCCCAACAAAACGAGATTGGCATTTAACTCACCAGCTCATGCAAAGCCTGGCACTGAATTGATACCTGAGCCATCTTTCCCCTTTGATTCTCCACCATGGGTGTTAAGTGGGTTCCATGGGGCCATGCAATGGTGCAGACATTAAGAGCATTACTTCTGCAACCCATCTTCTAAGCTCTTCTTCTCCTACTATCTGAGTCTCCATGGGCAGGTCACATTGTGCCTCAATTTCCTCATCTGTAAAATGAGATTGTGAGGATTAAATGAGTCAAACATAAAGTGCATGGACCAGGGCATAATGTCTAGGTGCTCAATGAGTATTGGCTCTTTAGAAAAATGCTTTTTTTCACATGGTCTACAAATATGCAAATGTATTCACCTGGGCCAGCCAGGGAGTTATTTTGTAGAGCTCACCATACACTTCTGGGGGACTTTGTTCTGTGTTAGGACTTAAGTGTGCAAAAGTCCCCCATCCAGGCCTGTCTTGGAGGCGATTATCCATTCAACCCTAAGACGTTTGCACTTAGCCATGGAGAAGCAACCTGAATTCCCTGCCGCTAGGGCACAGCTGTCAGTCCTGATGGAAGGGAAAAGGTCCTATAGGTCCACAAGCTGTCACAAAGCTCCAGTCCGTCACCCTGGGCGAGACCCTCAATCTTCTTCTAGGAACTGACTGCCTTAATCAAACTTGTCAAAATGTGCCAAGTATAGACCAGCTCACCTTTCAGCCCATTGCTGATCCATGGTGATGATTGTGGAAGGGTGGGAGAGGGAGAGGGTATTCAGGAAAAGCTCTTTGTGAGCTTCTAGCCACCGCCCCCCAACTCCTGCTCCCAGCCTATACTATAACGATGGCAAGAGGGGTGCACTGACCCGCTGGAAGCCCAGGCTCAGAATCACAGGTTTGGGAAAAGCACAGTAGCACAGCTTTTCCATCCAGGGGCAAATAGCCAGTCACCCTCTCGTGCCTGTGAACCTTTGTGTAAAAATAGCCCAGCACTGTTATTGCTGTTCAGGGAGCTTAAAGTCATTGGGAAAGTATGTCCAATAAACCCCTACTGTGGTCTTGGCCACAGAGTGTTTCCTGACAATACAAAGAGCTGTGATGCTTACAGATGCAATTCCAGATATCTGAACAATTCACTTGTGACAGCCACATATTGTAGTAACACTGGATGAATAGACCTCATTTTACTGCTAATCAGTTCCATTTTTATGTTCATGTAACTTGGGCAAATTTTATTTTGCTTTACCTGACTTGAAGTTTGAATGTCTCAACCGTGTAGTTGTACTGTCCCCGCTTGTCCACAGAGGATACATTTCAAGATCCCACTGGATGCCTGAAACCACAGACAGCACTGAATCCTATCGGTTGGCTGCTGTCCCCAAGCCCCAGGCTGTAGAGATCTGCGCCCCCCCATCCATGGAAAAATTGTCTTCCGTGAAACTTAGGAGCTGGGGGGGGCCACACAGCAGGAAGTGAGGGCAGGGGAGTGAGTGAAGAAGCTTCACCTGTATTCACAGCCGTTCCCCATCGCTTGCATCACCGCCTGAGCTCTGCCCCCGTTCCCCATCACACATGGAAAAATCGTCTTGTACGAAATCAGTCCCTGGTGCCAAAAAGGTGGGGACTGCTGCTATACAGGTTGAGCATCCCTAATTTGAAAATCCAAAATCTAAAATGTTTCAAAATCTGAAACTTTTTGTGTGCTGACATGACTTCACAAGTGGAGTCACATGATGGATCACAGTCAAAACGCAGTCAAAAATGTTTCATGCCCCAAATTATTAAAGATTATTGTATAAAGGTACCTTTAGGCTATATTTATAAGATGTATGTGAAACATAAGTGAATTTCGTGTTTAGACTTGGATCCCTTCCCTAAGATATCTCATATATATACAAATATTCCAAGATCTGAAAAAAAAAATCCAAAATCTGAAACACTTCTCGTCCCAAGCACTTTGGATAAGGGATAGTCAACCTGTATATACTGTGTTTTGTCCTATAAATACATACCTATGATGAAGTTTAACTTATAAATTAGATACAGTAAGGGATTAGCTATATTTATAAATAGAACGATTATAACAATATACTGTAATAAAAATTGTATGAATGTAGCCTCTCCTTTTCCTCAAGATACCTTATTGTGCTGTGCTGATGTGAGATGACAAATTGCTTACGTGACGAGATGAGGTGCGTGATGTAGGCATGTGACCTAGCGTTAGGCTGCGGTTGACCTTCTGATGCTGTGCCGGAGGATCATCTGCTTCACGTGATCCTGGATGACCCAGCCATGACGACGTCAGCGGTTAGATGTTGGGAGCAGACGATGTCGCTGACCAATGGACAGGAGCCTACGTGGCACGGATATCCTGGACAAAAGGATGATTCATGTTCCGGGCTAGATGGAGTGGCCCAGTGTGAAATGCGTCATCATGTTTCTCAGAGCAGCACACAATTTAAAACTTATGAATCGTTTATTTCTGGAATTTTCCATGTTATTTTTTTCAGTTTTCAGTTGATCTCAAGTAACTGAAACCGCAGAAAGCCAGGCCTTGGATAAGGAGGCATGTACTGTATTCCAGTGACACTATTTGTGAAAGCACGGTGGAGCGGCTCCTGTGGGACTGCTGACGAGGACCTCGCGGACTAAACCCCAGGCACAGCACTCTGCTCTCAGGCATTCCAGGAAGGACAGTGAACGGCAGGCACCGGAATCGGAAGCCCGCATAGAGTGCCTTTGCCTTCCCTCTCACTTGAGATGTCCCAGGCTCTGGACTTTGCTGGTACTCAGGACCTGCTTCCTGCACGCTGCACCTGGCCTAATGATCTGTCATCACCGTCCTCCTGACACTCTTAATAATGCTTCTTCATTT